GGATCACTTCCGCCAGATTTTGCCCGCAGCCTCCTCCTCATCCCTCGTCCTCCTCCCATACCCCTCCCTCCCTCTCCCTATCCCTCCCACTACCCCCTCCCCTCACCTTCCTCACTCTCCCCCACCTCCACTATCCTGGAATCTCCACCCTCCCCCACCCTCCCTTCTCTCCTTCTTAAATATCCCCCTAAGGTTTTGTGAAAACTCAGATCCCAAAACCACAGATCTTAAGGGGTGTCCCCCTAAAGGTTTTCATGACAAGTAAGTGCAAAAAGCACAAATCGCAAGGGGTGTCCCCCTTAAGGTTTTGTGAAGATTCAAATCCCAAAACCACAGATCTTAAGGGGTGTCCCCTAAAGGTTTTCATGACAAGTAAGTTCAAAAATCACAAATCGCAAGGGGTGTCGCCCTAATATTTTGTAAGAACTCAGATCCAAAAATCACAGATCGCACGGGGTGTGCCCCTCTCAGGCTTTGTAAGAACTCAGATCCAAAAATCACACATCGCAAGGAGCGTCCCCCTAAAGGCGTTTGTAAATGATCCACCCTGTCCCTCTCACTTGCCTCCTACCTCCCCCACTCCTAACTCATTCCTTCCCTTCCCATCTCATGTCTCCTCACCTCCCATCACTTTTTCTCCCATCCACTCATCTTCTTATCATCTTCTTATCACCTTCATCACTTTTTAATTTGTCTTATGGGGTCTATAGAGCCCATATAGAAAGCTTCATAGATATATAAACCTTACAGATCCTCGAGATACAGAACTTGTAGGAACCGCTTATGTTTCCCACAAATGGAGTCCTTTATAAAAAATTGAAAGATCGACTATATGGAGCCCTCATACACAGTCTTTATATACTCCTTATAGAAATCTATAGATCCTTTGTACAAATCCCTGATATGGAACCCTTTGTAGAAAACCCTTAGACTATACAATCCAAAGAACGCACCCACCCTCCACTCCCTCTACCTCTCCACCCATCTCCCCACTCCCTCCTCTTCCCCTCCCTTTGTCCACCCGCCCTCCCCTCTCCCCACCTTTTCCTTGCGCTCCCTCTACCTCCTCTCTCCACCCACCCTCTTCTCCCTGTTCCTCTCCACCCTCTCCCCACTCACTCACCCAACCCACTCAGCCCGGCCAGGCTCCCCAGCTGGCCCTGCCTCAAAGCAAGCCGGGCGTGCTGGCCGTGGATCTCAGCAGGCCCCTGCCCACCCTCGAGAGCCCACCAGGCTCAGCAGGCCAGGCCGCAGGCAAGCTGCGAGCTGGCCGCCTTCGGCAAGCTGTCTAACATTGTTTCTTATCCACTTTCACCTATTCCCCCGCTTCAGTCCATGCCCTACCTTTCACTCCTTTCCAGACCCTTCTGATATGAGTAAAATGAGAGGAGGAGGTCAGAGGGACGAAGAACAGCTCTCTCCATTACTTTCTCATCTGCTTTGACCCCTTCCCTTTCCTGGCTCCATGCATGCCCTGCGAGAAGAGAAGAATAAGAGAGAAAAGAGGAAGAGCAGAGGAGAAACTGGTTTCCCCTCTTTCATTACGTAGCATTTCTTTTGGCCACTTCCTCCACACTTCTCGTATCTTCCTCTCTCTTCTTCCTCTGCTGGGCTTGAAGCTCTCTCTCGCCCTCTCCGCAACTCTCTTTTTTTTCTGTCGAGCGGACGAGCGGTGGGAGAGGAAGGGCACAAGGTGAGTGAAGACGAGAACACTTCTTCCTTGTCTTCCTCCGCAACCTCTTCCTGGTTTTTTACCAATGAGACGGTGAGATAGGACAAGCAAGGCACTTTCGACTGCTTTCTGCATCGCTTCCCCTCCCCTCCTTCTCTCACTCTCTGCCTCTGTTTTTGCTGGTCTTTCTCTCTTACTTTCTCTCTTTGTTTCTGTGTTTGTTTCCTTATGGCTCTCGTTCTTCTTCTGCCCTTCTCGGATTGTCTCTCCGCTTCTGTTGTCTTTCTCTTACTCCCTTGTCTTCTTCCTTGTGAATTGTCCTTCTTCCTTCTGAGTGATAGAGGGAGAAGGACGGGAGGCAGGAAAGGCAGGAGGAGAAGGAATAGGGGGCAAGCGATTCTTTCCAAGCGAACATAATAGGCGGAGAGAAGCGGAAAAAGGAATGTGCAGAAGTAGACGGGAAGGGAGGGAGGGAGAAAGAGGGATCTGGAGAGAACAATGAAAAGGAGGATGGTGAGGTGATGAGAAGAGTGCCCTTTGCATGCCCTGAACTCTCCGTTCCTTTCATTTCTCCTTCCTTATGAAGATGAATAGGGTAAGAGAAGAGGAAGAAGGCGAAGGGCAAGGAAGTAAGAGAGGCGAGCGAAGGAGGAATTCTCCTTTCTTCTCCGAACCGTCTTCCCGCATCTTACCGCTTCCTTTCTGTTGTCTGCTCTTCTTTCCTTATGTCTTCGCAGAGCCTTCCTCCTTATCCTTTTCTTTCCTCTGGTCATTCAAAAAGGAAACGATGAGGAGACGCGAACTGATTCTCCTTGCTCCTTCTTACCACACTCTGCTTCTCTACATCCCCCTGCTTTCTTTATACTCGGTTTGGTGTTCATGTCCTCAAGAGGCCCCCTTAGGGAGGAAGTTGGTGGCCTCCAGAAAGTTGTGGAAGTGTCTGAAGGCGCCTACAAGCCTCCTCGAAGCCCTCGCGAGGCCCGGAGTCCTTTGAGATACGGCAACACTGGTACTCTCTCGCTTCCTCTTCTGTGTCCTTCTTCCTAGTCTTCCTCGTTTCCCTTTCTTTCGCACTCGACTTCCCCCACTCTCTGTCTATGACTTTCTCTTATCCACTTTCACCTATTGCCTCGCTTCAGTCCATGCCCTAGCCTTCACTCCTTTCCAACCCTTCTGACATGAGCAAGCATCAGGAGAATGAGAGGAGGAGGTGAGAGGGACGAAGAACAGCTCTCTCCGCTACTTTCTCTCATCCGCTTTGACCCCTTCCCTTTCCTAGCTCCATGCGTGCCCTTTGCTAAGAGAAAAATAAGAGAGAAAAGAGGAAGAACAGAGGAGACAGGGGCTTCCGCCCTTTCATTACGTAGCTTTGGCTTACGCTTCGTTCTTGTGAATCGTCCTTCTTCCTTCTGAGTGATAGAGGGAGAAGGACGGGAGGCAGGAAAGCCAGGAGGAGAAGGAATAGGGCAAGCGATTTTATCAAAGCGAACATAATAGGCGGAGAGAAGCGGAAAAGGGAATGTGCAGAAGTAGACGGGAAGGGAGGGAGAGAGAAAGAGGGATCTGGAGAGAACAATGAAAAGGAGGATGGATGAGGTGATGAGAAAGAGTGCCCTTTGCATGCCCTGAACTCTCCGTTCCTTTCATTTCTCCTTCCTTATGAAGATGAATAGGGTAAGAGAAGAGGAAGAAGGCGAAGGGCAAGGAAGTAAGAGAGGCGAGCGAAGGAGGAATTCTCCTTTCTTCTCCGAACCGTCTTCCCGCATCTCACCGCTTCCTTTCTGTTGTCTGCTCTTCTTTCCTGATGTCTTCGCAGAGCCTTTCCTCCTTCTTATCCTTTTCTTTCCTCTGGTCATTCAAAGAGGAAACGATGAGGAGACGCGAACTGATTCTCCTTGCTCCTTCTTACCACACTCTGCTTCTCTACATCCCCCTGCTTTCTTTATACTCGGTTTGGTGTTCATGTCCTCGGGAGGCTCCCTTAGGGAGGAAGTTGGTGGCCTCCAGAAAGTTGTGGAAGTGCCTGAAGGCGCCTACAAGCCTCCTCAAAGCCCTCGCGAGGCCCGGAGTCCTTTGAGATACGGCAACACTGGTACTCTCTCGCTTCCTCTTCTGTGTCCTTCTTCCTAGTCTTCCTCGTTTCTCTTTCTTTCGCACTCGACTTCCCCCGACTTTCTCTTATCCACTTTCACCTATTGCCTCGCTTCAGTCCATGCCCTAGCCTTCACTCCTTTCCAGACCCTTCTGACATGAGTAAGCATCAGGAGAATGAGAGGAGGAGGTGAGAGGGACGAAGAACAGCTCTCTCCGTTACTTTCTCTCATCCGCTTTGACCCTCTCTGTCTATGACTTTCTCTTATCCACTTTCACCTATTGCCTCGCTTCAGTCCATGCCCTAGCCTTCACTCCTTTCCAACCCCTTCTGACATGAGCAAGCATCAGGAGAATGAGAGGAGGAGGTGAGAGGGACGAAGAACAGCTCTCTCCGCTACTTTCTCTCATCCGCTTTGACCCCTTCCCTTTCCTAGCTCCATGCGTGCCCTTTGCTAAGAGAAAAATAAGAGAGAAAAGAGGAAGAACAGAGGAGACAGGGGCTTCCGCCCTTTCATTACGTAGCTTTGGCTTGCGCTTCTTTCTTGTGAATAGAGAATGAAGAGTTCACTTCGTCCATCTTCATGCCGATTCCTTTGTCATGACTTCAAATTCTGTGTCTTCTTGACAAACGGCAGAGTGGATAGGCAGGAAGAGGAACGGGAATGAGAGAAAGACACAGGACGAGAAATACACAAGACAGATTCTTGATGGTTCCCGGCGCGAGAGGGACGGGAGGACATTGTGATAGACTGTGATAGACCCTAAAACCAGCACGGAGAACTTGTGAGAGCGTAAAACCATCTAAATCCTCATAAACTCCAAACCTTAGATCTTCCATAGTATACTGACCCCGGTAAACCATAGTTAGGAGCTAAGACCCTAGACCCTTAAACTCCTGTCGAGACCTTTGCACTGTACACGCTTCGGCCTCCCGATGTAACCGTCGTGCCAGACCTTGTCGTCGCCGTGTTGAACCCAGTCGTCGTCGTGCTAAACCGAGTCGTCGTCGTCCTTGTCGCCGTGGTGTTGTTGCAGTTTAAATACAAAGCCCAGCAGGATTGCCAAATAGACCCTAAAGGTCCATGCCACAAACCCCTAAACCCTGAACCCCTATAGGGAACTCCAGAAAGTTGGAATATGGTTTCATGGTAGGACACCCTATAATTTAGCATAGAAGGGTTAGGATAATCATATTCCAACTTTCTGGCTTCTACTGTAGAGCCCGAAACTCGGCCTTCTGCGCATCCGGGAGCTCGCCCAGCAGCTGGTCCACGTCCTGAAGAGGCTTCCTCGGCTCCGGAAGCGAGGTTTGGGGGCCTCGAGGAAGCTTAGACCCAAGAGTAGCCTAGGAATAAAAAGGGTGCCCTTTTTGGTTTAAAGGGGCTTACAAGGGAACCTGAACCCCCAAAAAAGGGAATAAGAGAAGCTTACGGTTAGGGGTTTAGGGTTTGGGATTTAGGGTTTAGGGTTTGGGACTTAGGGTTATTAGGGTTTTGGGATTTAGGGCTCTGTGCACTCATCGACTCTCAATGAGTGTGCGGCGGCACCCATGGAATGAGTTGAGCCCCTTTGGACGGTCAGGGGGCGCTTTGGCTAGCTGTAGCTTTAAACCCCAAACCCTAAACCCCCTTCTGTTGCCGGACAGCCGAGGCGGCCAAAGAGACGCGCAGGGGCGAAGCACCGCACAGGGCCACCAGAGAAACCCTCAGGCCCAAGTAGGCAAGTGGCCTGCATGACTAGAGTACGAATTCGAAGAAGATGATATTCAAATGACATTGCAGAACCCTAAACAACCCTAAACCCTAAACCCTACGGGGATAAACCCTAAACCCTACGGGGATCGTGTTGCCATCGCCCTTCAGCCCGGAACAACAAGCACAGAACAGGGCATTCCAGCAGCTCTACACCGAGTATGGTAACGAAAACCTGGCACCCCTAGGCCCCCCCTCCCCGTCTGCCATCCATCATAGAACAAGGGAGACAGGAGGGAGAAGAAACAAGTATCTCCGAGGAGCCGTGTCTTCACAGCCCGAAGGGCGTCCGCATCGGCCAAGGGCCTAATGCGCACTTGGCGGGTTACGCGTCCGCATTTCTCTCGCTTCTCCCGTTTTCTAGAGGAACGAAAGGCCAACCTTATGGTTCTCGTCAGGGATTTAGGGCTTGGGCTGAAACTTTCTTTGGAAATACGTAAAGGGCTATTCTACTGATGCCTTTGTGCGCTTAGGGCGTAACCATTGAAGGCTTTGGGGCTGTTGTGCTCGGAGGGTTTCCAGCGTCTTGGGCTTGTGGTTTCGGGTTCGGGGCTGACGATCGAGGGGCAAATCTCGAAGGTTAATGACTACTGTTTGCTTAAGAACCCCCCAAAAAATAAAAAATCTATTCCTTATGGGTGTAATAGAGGGATTATTATTTTTGTGTTTTGTGGGTTTCTTAAGCAAATAGTAGTTTACTCTGTCTAATATACGGGCTTTGGTGATTTGAAGCGGGCTTGGGGGAATATTGCAGTATGCTTGTGTAGGGACCACTTAAGGGGATTTTACTTCATAGCACCTTGCGAAACCCTATTGGAACCCTCCGCACACCAGTTTCACACACCTCTAAAGCCCTTCTATTTTATATAGGACCTTAGTACTCTCTCTTTCAGACCAACCGAAACCCTAAAACCCAATTCCCTAAACTGCCAAGCCACTAAACTCCTAAACCTCTTAGCCCAAAGCCCTAGACGACTAAAGGCCTTGGGCATTACTACTATTTGCTTAAGAGCCCCCAAAAAATAAAAAATATATTCCTTATGGGGGGTAATATAGGGATTATTATTTTTATTTTTTGGTGGTTTCTTAAGCAAATAGTAGATTAGGATAGTTCAAGTTGCACGACGCCCTGACGGCCCAAACCCCTGAACCGCTACAGCCCTAAACCTCTAAACCTGTAAAGGCACCATAAAATGAACCCGCAAAGGAACACTTAGAGGAAACTAAATTTTAAACCTCTAAACCTGGAAAGGAACCATAAAAGGAACTCGCAAAGGAACACTTATAGGAACAAGCCCGAAACCCTAAACCCCAAACTAGAGGAAAAAAACAATAAGCCGCTTCAAACTCTTTCATTTCTGAGTTTCCGTTCATTGGGGGTACCTTATTTTGGGGTCCTTATAATAAGGATCCTACTATTTAGGCCACTATATTAGGGTCCCCTATTTCGGAAACTCTAAACCCTTAAAGAGCCCTTTCAAGAAACCATTATAGTACTCTTAGAGTAACCCTTTAATAAAGGAGCCCTAAGATACCCCCTACTGTTGATGATATGAATCCTGGTCCCCTATTTTCGGAAACTCCCTCATATTTCGAAACCCTAAACCTTTCATAGAACCCCTATAGATCCCTTAAAGGAACCCTTAAAGGGCATATTAGGGTCCCCTATTTTCGGAAACTCTAAACCCTAAACCCTTGTAGACCCCTTACAGGAACCCTTATGGTACCCTTTTTAAAGGAACCCTAAGGGTCCCCTATGTTCGGAAACTCGTTCATTTCTGCTGAGAGGGCCTGAGCAAGGCGACGGCTTGGCCAGCGTCCGCAAAGCGGAACTCCTTCTTCCTCGGATCGATGCTAGGGGTTTTAGGGGTTTCGGGGTTTGGGTATTTAGGGTTCAAGGTTCAGGGCTTAAGGTTTAGGGTTCAGGGTTCAGGGTTAAGGGTTTAGGGTTCAGGGTTTAGAGTTTGGGTATTAAGGTTGAGTATCCATGAGAACTACAGCCCCTATTTGAAGCTTGAAAGGCCTAGGCCTAGGGTGGTGCTCCGAAATGGGCGCTAGGAACTGCAGGATTTTGAGGGGCAGTTTGGGATTTGGTGGCTTAGGGGTTTTATTTGCGTTTTCAAGGTGGTTGCTGAGTGCAATTATAGGGATTTAGGCTGCGTTGTAGTGCTTAGGGGGTCCAGAAACAAACCAATGAGCGCAGCACGGGCAGCGAAGAACGCACAGTGCACAACCATACTTAGAGGATCATGGGGCTGAGTAACTAGGGGTATAAGTAAGGTAACTATACTTATAACTACTTATAACCCCAATTAAGGTACTTATAACCTTACCAAGTCCCATGCTCCTCCAAGTATGCTTCAGAGTCTAGATGGAGGGTCGGGAAGCCCATATACTGCAAGGATCCAGCCAGTGTTCAGGAAGTTGAGCTGAAGTCTACGCACCCTCTTCTTTCAAAGCGAAGCACTGCTAATCCCCCAAAATCCTACACCCGAAACCCTGAACCTTGAACCCTAAATCCACAAGCCTGCACCCTAAACCTTGAACCCGAATGCCTTGAGCCGCTGGCTCCTTCTTTTGGTTAAAGGAGGGACCCTTAATAAGGAGCCCTAGGTATATATATATATATACCCTTATAATATAGCTATTCTATACCCTTTATATAGCCCATTATAGGGTAGGGGTCCCCATCAAGGGTCCCTCCTGTTCCCCTTTGACTGGCTGCAGCCAGGCAGCCCCTTCACTATAAAGTGGAGTGGCCGGGCCCTGTCCCTGAGTTTCAAGCGCCTTGGGGCAAGCGTCGGGCGTTTCATGGCCAGGCCTTCTTGGGGCTTAGGCGGTTTAGGGATTCGTGTCTAGGGTATAGGGTCTAGGGTTCAGGGTTTAGTAGAGACTATGGCTAGACCCAAGAGTAACCTAGGAATAAAAAGGGTGCCCTTTTTGGATTAAAGGGGGCTATAAGGTAACCTAAACCCTAAAAAAGGGAATAAGGGCCTACTCTAGATCCTAGATAGGGTCTAGGGACCAGGGTTCAGAAGTTAGGGCTTGCTTCAGGGTTCAGGGCTCAGGACTCAGAGCTTAGGGCGTCAAGTTCAGGGTATCGTGGTCTCGGGTTTGCGGCCATCGTGATAGGAAACTGCAAAGGAAAGATAAGGTGGACACCTGCCAGCTAGGTGAAACCCTAAAGGAACAACTGAGATCGAAACGAAGGTTTTTTACAGGCGGTTATAATGAGGTTCATAATCGAAACTCAGCAGAATCTGCAACATTCTTTGAGAAGGGGTTAGCAGGCCATATTGCGGAACCCCAAGAAAAATGATCCCTGTTAGCATGTACCGGGCATGTAAGCGGACATTGCAACTACTTAAAGGCTCATGGGACTTAGTAAGTAAGGTTATAAGTAGGTTATAATTAGGATAACCCCACTTAGGGGACTTATAACCCCAGTTATAACCTACTTACTAAGTCCCATGATCCTATAAGTAGTTCTTCAGGTCTCTGTCTGAAACCCTCAACACCCAACCATCTACACCCCAAACCCTCAAGACCTAAACACATCCATTCTCTTGAGACACTATTAAGGCCAAAACCCCAAACTCTCCAACCCTGAACCACAAACTTCCTAAGCCCCCACAGCTTGAAACCTCAACCCTAACCCCTAAAACCCTCCACCCCAGCACTTTGAAGTCCTGGATCCCCACCAAACTCCGGACCCCAGACTTCCAAAAACGCAGTTGCACCAAGTCCCAAATCCTTACTAAGCCTCGCCTTTAAAGCAGAGATGAACATCCCTCAGGGTTTTAGGACCGTATTACAGGGTTTAGGGGTTTAGGGGTTTAAGGTTTAACCCCGAAGCCAAGCTGGAGAAAGTGGCTCAAGCTTCTCGATGGCCTGGAAAAATCCGGGCTGTGGGCTCGGGCGATGACTTCAGAGCTGCTATAAGGGGGGTTTAGGGTTTAGGGTTCAGGGTTTAGGGTTTAGGGTTCAGGGTTTAGGGTTCAGGATTTCGGGGTTAAGGTTTAGGGAGTTGTAAAGGATTCTCTCAGGATCTTAAAGGGTTCATGAGTCTCTTGGTGGTGCTCGAATGATCTATATTAAGAACCGTATCAAATGTAATCTTAACATGTCATATCATACAATACAACTGTACATAAGGGTTTAAGGGGAGAGCTTGGATGGCACAGGGTTCCGCATCGTTTGCCCAGTGTCTCTCCCCGGTATCAGCTGGTTCAGCTTGAGGCTTGTGGTTTGGGTTTGGGGGTTTTAGGGCGTAGTCCCCTGCGCCGTATTCCCTACGCATGAGGCCCTGAACTCGATACCCCAAACCTCCCAAGCCGAAACCTTAAAGCCAAACTCAAACCCTGCGCCCGAAACCCGGCGTCTGCTTACACTTCTAGCACCCTTATACTATGGTGCCTCACAAGCACGTGCCGTATGCCTACGTGATACGGCTGGCTAGCCCGAACCGACGACGTAGCTCAACAGCCTCAACAGAAACAACCCGTAGGCGATGGTTTTGATTAGTGTTTCGGGTTTCGGTGATTTAGGTTTCAGGCCACAGAGAGCCTGTCGACACTGCAAACGCCCCGAGCCCAAGAAACAACAAAGCATGCATAAGCATGCCAAAACCCTAAACCCAATGCGCTAAACCGCTAAACCCTAATCCAAAACTTCCTAGACTCCTCAAACTCCGAACCCTAGCCCTCAACCTACAAAAAACGTTTTGCGCGATGTGCCTGAGTCCTAGAAATCTAAAGCATTCCCCCAAGACGGTGCCGCCTGTCCGGCGCGGTCGGCAGAGTGCCAACCCGCTCCAGCTTTTGCAAGGCCTCTTTGTGGGGTTTTCGGGGCTTTGGCTTTTGAACTAAAAACCCTGAATCCTACACCCCAAAACCCCAAAACCCCAAATCCGAAACCTGACACGCGCACATCCTAACTCCGCCCCCCCCCACCCCCGAAATTCGCAGGAGCTTCCCGTTCAGGAGTTCGCGTTGTCGGGTTTCGCGGCTAAGGGGCTCAGCGGAAACCCCAAAAAGCTGGAAACCGGACTATTAAAGACAATCAATTCCCGGCTCATGACTGCTACCTGGACCCCAAAAGTGTGTAGAATAATAGCCTTTTATAGGCTTTGGGCCATTATTTTACCTACTTTTGAGGGTCTAGGTACTTGTTCAGCTTCTAGCAGCATCTGCCTGACTTCAGAAGCCCAACATCAGCCCAGGTCCAGCGGAATTCGCGCATGGCGAGATCGGAACAAGGCTGCGCAGCGTGGCGTGTTTCGTCTAGACAGCTACAGTAGTCTACTATTTGCTTAAGAAACACCCAAAAATAAAAAATAATAATCCCTATATTACCCCCCATAAGGAATATATTTTTTATTTTTTGGGGGTTCTTAAGCAAATAGTAGTAGTCTGGGTCTTTCGATGTTGTTGTTCATATACTACAATAAGGTTAGGGGTGGAGGGTCTGGGATTTCGCTGATTGGGGCTTGGGGGTTGGCTTGCGGTCAGAATGTCAGGGCTTGGTGGAGTTTGGGGTTTATAGGGCCGTGGCTTTAGGGTGTTTCGGGTAGGTCTGCGCCCCCCCCCCGGCCGCTGGAAAGGGGGCACGCCTCGAAAACCGAACAGCTGCAGTCGGCCCCGCGCGTCGCGATGAACTCTTCGATGGCTCACTTATGCTCTGCTTGAAGGCTGAATTAGTGCTATTGAAGTCGCCGGAGCCCTAACTAGACTCTAACGACAGTGCTTCGGGCTTCAGCGGCCCTGAAATCCTTAACCCCTAAACCTGGACCCTAAACCCTAGGACATGATCCCAGCTTAGCCGTGACATCGCGGGCAACTCAGGGTTTAGGGTTGATCCTTCAGGCTTAGGATTGGTGCAGGGTTTAAATGTTTCATGTGTGTGTGTGTGTGTGTGTGAACGTATCGGTGTCTTAGGGTCGATACCTGCATCCAAAGAGTCTCCTTATAAGGCTCCCGGTTGTTTACGGCTTGGGGCGTGAGATCTACGGTTTAGGGCTCAGGGACTGTGCGGCTTTGGAATGCTTTAAGAAAATTTAGTGGTTTAGGGTTTCGGGTTTAAGGTTTAGGGGTTTAGGGGTCTAGGGTTCAGGGTTTAGGGGGGCGTCCTGTCTGCGTTGCTGGGATCCAGGTTTGGAGGCAACCTCGAAGCAGAAATACCAACTTTCAGTGAACTGTTCCTGATGTAAGGGCCTTGGTGATTAGAGTCGGGTTTTTAGGGTTCCGCATTAGAATTGTAGTATAATGTCCCCTACATTGCCGTCCTGCAGGGGCGACTTCCTCAAAACGCGGGAACCCCAAAAACCCGAAAAAAACCGCCCCCCAAGCCCTATGCGGCCCTATGCCCTGCCTGTAGCCGAAAAGACCTACCGACTTAGGGTTCCTGATTATGGTGTGTATGTATATATATATATATATGGGGGTTTCCGAAAATAGGGGACCCAAATATAGTACCCTAAATAGTAGGATCCTTATTGAAGGACCCCAAAATAAGGTACCCCTATTTTCGGAAACTCCCATTTAGATAGATATAGGTCCTTCAAAAGGTAGGTCTTTGCGGCTACAGGTAAGCCCTACAAACGTGGGCAAAGCCGACGAAACGCAGCGCACGCCGAGGCCTTGTTTTCGGCCTCTGCCTGTAAGGCTCAGGGCGGTGACGTATGGGTTAGAAGGGGCCCCCACCCTGTAATAGTGACCATAAGGATTATACTTGGAGGGTCGGGGGACTTAGTAACTGGTTATTTTAGGGACTTATAAGTACCATAACCCCAATTAGGGTCCCCTTTAGGTACTTATAAGTCTACTTACTACCTACTTACTAAGTCCCCCGACCCTCCAAGCACCCTGTAACAGTGACCATAAGGATTATATAGGATTATATTAGGGCCCTATTATATTCCTATTATACCACTATTACAGGGTGGGGGCAGCTTCTAACGTATGGGTTTTCTTGGGTTCAAGAAAGCTCAGAAAGGCTCGATAATCATAAGAACAACAGTAGTGAAACAATACGGATAATTAGTAGTAATAGCAACCCTGATAAGAATAACAGCAAAAATACTAAACATAATAACAATAACAATAATAATAATGATAATACTAATAACCGTCACAATACTAATCATACTACTGATGATGATAACAACAAGCATCATCATGATAATGCGGCTTCCTCTTGGCGTTGCAGCGTCGAGTGCCTGTATTTGGCCTTTCTCTAGACCTAAGAGTAACCTAGGAATAAAATGCCCTTTTTGGGTTAAAGCGGGTTTATAAGGGAACCTAAACCCCAAAAAAGGGAACAAGGGCCTACTCTGGGTCCTAGTTCTTGGGTTGAGCGTTTTTCAGGGACTCTGGGGGGAAGGCAAGGCTTCCGGGAGATTCAGCTAGGATACCCAGTAACCTAAGAATAAAAAGGCCTCTCTTTTTGGTATTGGGTAACTTTATAAGGAACCTAGGACTACAAAAAGGGAATAAGGGTATATACTACTGGGCATCCTAGTTAGGAATTCCGGTCGCATTAAACCGATCCTACTACCAGCTGTCTAACGTAGGAACCTGATTAAGAAACCTTGGGCCTTTATTAAGGCTCCTTAAATGAATCCTGCTATTTTGGGGGTTGGTTGCTGAATCAGGTTCTTACATTAGGCTCTTCTCGACTTGGGTCCGTTACTTCGTGAACTTCTCACATGGTCACAACAAGCCTCACATGCCCTTAGGGCCCAACAGCAGATCTCATAAACCTCAAACCTGAACCCAGCAGACCAAACAAGCCTTTGTAGTATTCCCCATCAGCCCAAGCAAGATGTCTGACTCCACCCCTGTGACCCCAAATCAAACCCTCAAACCTACCCTCTGCAGGCCCATCAACAAAACTCCCCTACAGCACCCTGCAGAACCCTGCCACTACATGCCCGAGAAACCTTGGCAGACCCCTCAGAACCCTAAACCCTGAACCCTAAAACCCTGAACTCTGAACTCTATATCCCCTAAACTCTAAGCCCTAAAGCCTACACCCTGAACCCTAAGCTTCGTTTATTCGGATTCTGCTTAGAGTTCGGATGTTCACGTTTCGGTTCGGAGAGCTTCAGGTTCACACTCCTCCACCCGGAGTTCGTTGGGAAAGAGGCCAGAGCACTGCTCTTTGTCAGACCACTCCTTGGGTCCTTGGGATTGAGGATTGAGTTTAGGGTTTAGTTTAGGATTGAGGCTTTAGGGTTTATGGTGTCTAGGATACCCAGTAACCTAAGAATAAAAAGGCCTCTCTTTTTGGTATTGTGTAACTTTATAAGGAACCTGGGACTACAGAAAGGGAATACAGGGTACTACTGGGCATCCTAGGTGTAGGATGGGTTCGGAAACTCAGCCTGGATTGAAGCCATGAGCTGAGTCTGCAGGGCATCAGGCTCGCGGACGGAGTGTTCAGGTGCGGAAGTTACGGGTTCAGATTCTGGATAGAATCTATAAGGGCTTGGGGTTTCGGCGCCTTATCCATGACTTTCTCCAGGACCAGGGGAATTTCCAGGAAATCGATTTCCTGGCGGAGGAGAAGGGCCCTGAACCTGCAAAACCCTGAGAGATGTCCACAGGCTCTGGGTGCGGCTTTTTTCCAAGTTCGGGCTCCGGGTTTAGGGCTTGGGATTTTGGGTGAGCCCTAATTACACCTTGCACCAATTCAAACCACGAAGCCCTAAATAAACCCCAGGAGGTAGGAATCAAAGCAGTATCCATCAGCAACCTCGTCACCGCACGTATTGAGTCCATCCCGAAGCGGCTCCAGCAGGGGGCTTATTGGTCTTCATCCAAGCAACCAAGCCGCCACGCAGCTGGCGATGCTCGCGCGCCTTCTTTTCGATGGTCGTCAGGGCTTGAGCTAGCGCAAGGGATAAGCAATTGCCTTGCCCGTCACTGAGGACTCGCCCGAAGGCGGCAGGGACGGAGACACCACATCCTCTGGATTTTTTGGGTGCGTTTGCTCCCAACAGGAGCCGAAGCCAGCTCCACCACTGGTGAGGATGCCGCAGTGACCGGCTTCGCCCTTCTTGGCCTTGGACTTCGGTTTCGCCGTGGTGATGAAGTCGGCCAGAGTCGGCAAGGATGCTCGCCCAGGTGCAGCCCTCGTCCAAAGAAGCACCAGAAGCCGTCGACGGTCGTCGAAAGCAACTTCATCGAACGCTGGCACTAAAGCCCCTCACCAAAACACCTAAACAGTATGCAGCCCAACCTCAAACCCTAAATCCTAAACCCTAAGCCCTGCATCCTAAGCCCAATCCCCTAAATCCTAAATCCATCGGTTGAAAGAGCCGAAAACCCTCCGAGGAAGACCAGGCTATGCACACGACCCCGATCCCATATTCCCATCCTCCGCAAGAAAGAGGGGACTCTAGAAACCCAAAAAGCCTACAGACCTTCTCTGCTCAAAGCATAATAATGTAGGAACCTGATTAAGAAAATTCTAATTTATTGCGGGTTATAGGGCCCGGGTTGCTTAATCAGGTTCCTACATTAGAAGGATCCTTGATATAAGTTAAAGTGCAGATCGCTGAAATTTTGGTATGTTGAATTCTTCGGCTTTTCCCGCCGGGTCATAGCTATGAGCCTCCAAGCCCTCAAGCAAAGGGCATAAAACCAAGCCTAAATCCTACAAGACCTGGGACAAAACCAAGAAACATCAACGCTCCTGAACATCTCAGCGGAAGACAAAGTTTATTCAAGTGCACGAGCACACACTCGTCTGCACCTAGCCAAACCCCCGATCTTTGCCGAAATTAGAGACTCATGCTGAGCGCAATAAAACTAAACGCAATCCGAAACTCTGAATCCCAAATGTCCGTGCTTAGACTGCCTAGATCCCGCCCTGTAAATAATGAGGCAGCAAGGCGTTGCCTTTGTCAGGAGAAGCTCAACCGCTTGCTCGTTGGCCGCGGAGAGAATTGCCGGCCTCGCAGAACTCGTCCATGCTTGAGGGTTTTGTATCTACTTATAGGATCATGGGACTTAGTAAGTAGGTTATAACTGGGGTTATAAGTCCCCTAAGTGGGGTTATCCTAATTATAACCTACTTATAACCTTACTTACTAAGTCCCATGAGCCTTTAAGTATGGGTAGTTCTGAAAAATAGGGTCCGGTGGCAGGTCCCCAAAATAGTACGGCACCCTTCATAAAAGGGATCTACCCAAAGGCCCCAAAGTAGTTCCTTTTTGGGTTCATATATAGAACCCTATAATAAGGTAATCCCAAAAAGGAACTACTTTGGGGCCTCTGGGTAAGGTACTGTTGATGATATAGATCCTGCATTACCCATAATAGGCTATACCAAAAATCCCATAGTTTAGGGTCCTTAAGGTAATGCAGGATTTATATCATCAACCGTATCTCTGACAACACGAAACCGGCCAACTGAGTCAGCTTCTGCTCTGCCTTGGAGTCCACGGTTTAGGGTTTAGGGCTTAGGGCTTAGGGTTCTTTTTTAAAGGGTGGGTTGACGTCCTTCTTTGTGCTTAGGGTTTAGGGTTTAGGGTTTCACGCCAAAAATATATCGGCGTAACGGAACCTCTGATGCAGGATTTAGGGTTCCATGGACTCTCGAGAGCGTACGACGGGTTTTACAGGGTTGGATAAAGGCTGTGGGGCTTCAACTACCTGCTTTGCCCCCCACCAAACCTACATGTTCATTGCCTCCTACCCAAAACACCGAAATGCCGACTTCAAATTTGTCATCCCCCCCTCAATTACAAAACCCCACCCCCGGAACTCAATTATAAACCCCCCCTCAATTACGAAACCCCCAGCCGGGAACCCCAAAAAATGTAGCTACTTCTTGTGCCTTTAGAGGCCAGGAAAAGGACCGCAAGCTTTAGAAACCAAGCGCCGACGGACCCCCTCAATAGTCAATCCCCCGCACCCCGGGCCAGCAAACAATCAAGGGCGGGGGTTATTATAGGAAGTCAACATTATGTAGGTTTTTCAGGTATGAAGTACCTCCTTGCTTCGCGTCTTGGCAGCTCTGACCCGATCGCCGGAGCAGAAAGATGGAGCTTAAACGGAGCCCGGCCGAGACGTTGGGCTTAGGGGTTTGGGGTTTAAGGTTCTTAAAACTTGGGTTTATGATGGCTTATGGAAATTATTCGCTTTACATCGGTGTAACTCTTCGGTAGGCACTCTGTGGCCTGATGTCGACAGCGCAAAGGCATGCTGACTCGGACGAAAATGAACTGCACATCGCCCGCATGGTTTCTCCTCGTCCCATCTCTTGTACAGTCAGGATTCCGGCCACTGTGACGCTTTTCAAGTACACCTTGCGCTTGTCATCTTCGTCAGGCACGGCTCTCGTCGTGAGGGCGTAAGAGGCCAAGCTTTCTGCGCACGTAGCTTCTGGTTCTGCTTAGCAAAACGACCCAGAATTGCAAACCCGAATGCTGTGCCACCGATTTCGTCAGCATTAGCTGACACAGTAGCAGTCTTGCTGTTGCACAGCGATACCGCTACAAACATCAAAAAGCAGCAAAACATACAAAAAAAAAACCATGGACAGTCCTGGACCGTCTGACAAAACCGTACGAAGGCTCATGCAATCCCCTGACAATCTCGTTTTCATTCCGTAATCTTTAAACCCAAAAAGAACCTAACTCCGAATTCCCTAAAGCTGTAGACCCCAACCCCGAAACCTTAGCTCCGAGAATGTACCAAACAGTTCCGGGATCCGCACATAGTTCCACCGATTCGGCCCGCTTTGTACGCAAGGCCTTGGCAACCCAAAAGTTTAGGGTTTACAGCCTTCACACCCTCTCGATTCAGTTTAGGGTTTAGGGTTTAGGGTTTAGGGTTTAGGGAGGGCTAAGGGGTGGGGATCAAGGTCAGAGGGGCCATGAAAATAAGGAGTAATCGGGCTTTTCTGGGTCTAGGGTTTGGGGTTTGGGGCTTTTCAGAGGCACGCAACCCTGAACCCTAAATACTGGTTAAATATGAGGGCCATTGGGCCGTGAGGAGTTTGTTAAGTCGCTGGCCTCTAGATTTGCATGGCGTCGGGTGTTAGTTGTTTTCTTGCAGGAAACCAGAAAGTTAGAACATTGTTGTTCGGGCTTAAATTTTGGGCCCTGTCCTCACTCCCGTAAAAGAGTAAGACATACGGAAGCCAAGTCCTCAGTTCCCCGAGCCTATGCTCCAACTCTTTGCGGTTTGCCGCAAAAGGTCCGGGCTTGAAACTCTACAGTTGCGGGTAACAATCTACGGTTTATGGCTGGGGCTTGGGGACCCAAGTTTCACGCTTAAGGCTTCATGGTTGGTTGCAGTCACGATGGTGATCAGCAGCAGCATTCTTGGGGTCGGTGGAATGGCTTTCTGCAGTTGCTAGACATCACGTGAAATAGCATTGGCACTTGGCTCCCAACATGAAACCCAAGTATACAACGACCACTGCCGGGAATCATGCCCTGGACAGAACACGAGATCCCTGAATAGAGGATCATCATTCGAAGGACTCAAAATCTTGGAGTATAGGCTAAAAAGGCCACCTGCTCCCCTGCTCCCCTTGCTCCCGTCCCTGCTGCCTGCTCCCTGCTCCCTGCTGCCTGCTCACTGCTTACTGCTCCCTGCCCTGACCCAAGAAGACGCCCTAGACCTAAGGCCTTTCACCCCAAGCCGTAAACCCTAAACTCGAAACCCTAAGCCCCAAATACTTAACCCTAAGCCCGAAACCCTAAGCCATCCCTATAAACCCTATCTCTTGCAGCATTCCTCTTGGCAGCCGGCGGATGCATGGGTACTTCTCGAGGTCAGGTTTGCCTTGCAAGTTTAACCGGAAAGTTGGGTCCACGATTTTGGGGCCTAGCTTTGGAGTATATGTCTTTCTTGTTTAAGGCCCTTTGTCTGTCTCTCGTCCAGCTACCCAGGCTGAAGAAGTTCATGGGTAGTTTTCATAAATGTGGCCCCTTCTGCGTACCCTAAATATGGGTGCCGTACTATATTAGGGCCCTAAAAAGGGACCCGAATTTTGACAACCACCCTCATACAGATCCCGGGCTGAGGGTGTAAGATTCAGGGCTTCGGGCTTAGAAGGGACCAGGATATGGGGGTTTCCGAAAATAGGGGTACCTTATTTTGGGGTTCTTATAATAAGGATCCTACTATTTAGGGTACTATATTAGGGTCCCCTATTTTCGGAAACTCCCATATAATTGGGGTTATAGGTCCCCTAAGTGGGGTTATCCTCATTATAACCTACTTATAACCTTACTTACTAAGTCCCATGAGCCTTTAAGCAGGGTTATGCGTCGGCGGTTTGGCCTGACGTGCATAGCTGTTCTTGTGTCGGGTTCTCGGACCCTCGGAGTCCATCCTCTGAGGGCTTAGGTTTACAGAAATTGTTAAGGGTTTGGGTGCCAAAAACGCTTTGACCGAACGTTTTGACCGAAGTTTTGACCGAAACGTTTTGACCGAAAGTTTTCCGACTGAAACCACATTTTGAATTTGCTGGGCTGGGCTGGGCTGAGCTGGGCTGGGCTGGGCTGGGCTGCTGGGTCGGCTGGGCTGGGCTGGGCTGGGCTGACCCCACATTTTGGGCGGGCCTGGCCTGGGCTGAAGGGGCTGGGTGGGGGTGCTTGGGCTGGCCGGCTGGGGGGGCTGGATGGGCTGGGCTGGGCGCGCTCAACGGAACTGGCCTGGCTGGGGCTAGGCTGGGTCGGGCTGCTTGGGCTGGGCTGGCTGGTGGGCTGGGTTGCCTGGTCGCTTGTTCCGTTTTTGAGCTCCAGCTCAATGTTGGCCGGGCTGTACCGGTGGTTACAAGTTTGTAGAGAAATTGGTTTATCAAGAAGTTTGTTTAATTTTTAGCCTGTGTGTTGGGCCGTAGCGGTTGTTACAAACAAGGACAAGCAATTTCCATTTATCATTTTCTTGAGGGTTTAGGGTTTAGGATTTAGGGTTTAGGGTTTAAGGTTTAGGGTTTAAGGTTTAGGGTTTAGAAGCAGGTGCTTAACATAGACCCCGGCCAATACGACGCTTATCTTGCAAAGCCCCCCACTAATGCTAAGAACCGTCCGCAAACTCGGAAAACGAATCTCACAACAACCCTTATGCTGCCATGTACAACCCCCGAATTGTCTTGGCCATGGGCCGAACGTGAGCTTGCCGTCCTTGCCCTCGCCTGGTGTCGTTGGCGATCGCTTGCGATTCCGCGGTGTGTTTGTTGTGGGAACTTGGGCAAGCACCTCCATGAAAACCCTCAGTAGGAACCTTCTCAAGTAAGAACCTTCTGAAAACCCTCCAGCTGTCAGGAGCTCAAAGTCAAGCCCTAAAACTCTTCTTACTCCTCTTTGTGTTGACCCTGCCTAAGCACCCAAGTCCACAACCTAAGTCCAAGGGCCGCTGTACCATCAGGGTTGTACAGGGGGTTTAGGGTTTAGGCATTTAGGCGTTTACGGGTTTTGGGGTTTAGGTGTCTAGGGTTGGGGGGCTTAGGATTTAGGGTTGAGGGGTTTGGGGCTTTAAGGACTTGTCGAGTTTTACAAGGCCTCACCAGGGTTTTGTATGAGGGCTGTGGCGTAGGGCTGTGCTGTCAAGGCCGCAGGAATGGTGGCCAGACTTGATTGCCCTAAGGCAGGGGCTTTAATAATTAGAATAGGGTTCTAGGGCCCATTATACTCTAAGGAACCCCCACAATAGTAAAGGTAATTGTTGAAGCCCTTTTTTGAACACTACCTGCAACCAAACGACTTCTCTTAGGGATTATGTAGACAGGAGGTTCATAAGAAGGAGGACCCAAAAGCCTAGGCCCGTTGAGTTTACAAGTAAGCACTAGATCAAACCTACACTCTAGACCAAACCTAAACAAACCCTGAAAATGCGGCTGATGGCCGAAGCCCTACAACACCCATAAGCCAGGATTCCCACAGCTTAGCGTACCTGTGTTAAAGAGGGTCTGGGGACATCATGTAGCACAGTTACAACAGTTCAAGTGATTATTGAGGCTCCTATGCTAACGTGGGAGATGCAGACGGCTGTCCATCACCCTGACCCCTAAATCCTCAGCCAAAGCCGTATGCAAGTAGCCGGGGGCGCCGTTCCACCAGACGTCGAAGTTCCGGCCGTCCCTTGGGTTGGGCAGGTCGGCGGGGACCTGAGACAACTTACGGGCACCGCGTTTCAAGCTTTGGGGTGATTGTAGGGTTTGGCTTAGGGGTGTTAGGCCCTTGAGCCTGGCTGCAGTGTTAAAGGAGATTGGTTTGTCGGTTTCGTCTCGCTTTGGTTTCTGCTGCCTGCGCCTCTCGGCACTGCTGCGCTACGACCATTCCTGCTCCTCCTAGCTCCTCCTCAAACCCTAAACCCTAAACCCTAGAACCCTAAACCCTAAAACCCTAAACCCTAAACCCTTAAACCCTAAAACCCTAAACCGTTCAACACGATGCGAAACGAAGCATGCAACCACTGCTCCTCCAACGCTAGACGACTAGACGAATCCTTGGCCTGAACCCCAAACCCCGGGTTCCACCTCTCCTTGGCGTACGGACCCCAGACAATGTAGGAACCTGATTAAGAAACCCTGGGCCTATAACCCCAAAATACTAGGATTCATATAAAGGAACCCGAATAAGGTTTCTTAATCAGGTTCCTACATTATTATAGTACCCCTATAGATCCCTCATAGTACCCCTTATAGATCCCTCATAGTGCCCTCATAGATCCCTTATAGTACCCCTTATAGACCCCTTATGGTTCCTACATTACCCCAGACCCTGCAGTGACTGGGGCCTGACTGATCCTAAGCCGACTTGACTTTGCTGCAGGTTCGGGTCCTGGGTCTGAGGGTGCCGGATATGGGACTTTCCGAAATTAGGGGTACCATATTTGGGGGTCCTTATAATAAGGATCCTAGTATTTAGGGTACTATATTAGGGTCCCCTATTTTCGGAAACTCCCAAAACGGAGGCCTCAAAATGTGGGTTGAAGGTAGGTAGGATTAAGGCTCCCTTATAGAAGGACTCTTATTTGGGAATATCCCACCTACCTTCATCCCACCTTTTGAGACCTCCGAGGATAATTAGTTTTCTTCACTGGCCTCGAGGTCACCGGAATTTGCACTAGGAACGGAGAAGTAAAGAATGAGAATAGGCTGCTCGGGAGTATCTTTTGCTAAGACAGCAAAACGGAGCCGTAGGGGGAATAAATATTGTTCTAATTAGTAAGGCCTCTTCTCACACAATTTGACTGTAAGAGTTCAGATCTTGTCAGCTTCATCATCCCCCATGCCACTTCTGATGTCGACCTCAGCCGACTCGGAACAGATGTAAGGTTGAAGGCCAGACCGGCTGGTAGGTCTGAGTCCCGGGCACGCGACGGGTGTGAGAGAGCGTAGAGGATGGGAAGCCGCATGTCGGGCCAGCCCGTCTGCATGAGGATGGCGGTGTCCTGCAGCATGTGAAGCACAGTTTGAGGGTGAGCTTGCCTCGGGGTCGGGCGTTTAGGATTTAAGCTGGGCGTTGTGGAAGCATCTCTGTCGAGAGAAAATTAAAAAAGCAAGGCCACGGACACAGCGAACTGACTGCAAAAGTGATGGCAAGGGTTGGCAATACCGACCGCCACCAACACCACCACCAACAGAAAAGAGCAGCAGCAGCAGCAGCAGCAGCAGCAGCAGCAGCAGCCGCGGCGGCAGCGGCGGCGGCAGCAGCGACAGATTCGGAACACTCACCTTAACTTATTACCGATACGGGAAGTCATATTCACAGTAATCATACTGCATCTTTCAGGCGTATTTGGCCGGTTAGAATGGCATCCCATGCATTCCAACAACACTAACTAAACTTGAACTCTGAACACCGCGAGCTTGAGCTTGTCCCCTAAACCTTGAAGGCTGGAACATTCAACCCTCAACCAAAAACCGTGACACCTCACACATCCTTAAACCGCTCCTGGCACTCGACTGCGCTGTGGACGATGGACTGCGGGTGGATCCTGAGTCGAAAGACTGAGAAACATCTCGAAAAGCTTGGACGAAACCCCAACAAAACTGCCACATAAAAAATTGACTTTGAAGCAAATACCGGACCCCCGCAAGGCCTTCACGAAGCCCGTATATATGGTAGCGAGCACATAATGTGCAAGGGCGCCGTAGTGGGTGGGGTGGGGGGGGGGGGAAGGCGGGTGGGGGGGCGGGATTGCCACTTGGTACAACATACTGCATAAAGATGTTCAACGTTGGTACACTGCCACAAGCGTTGAAGCCTGAGGGAGAATGCCTGAACCACATGTATTTTCTGCAATCCACCACTTTACACAACATACTGCTGAAGTTTTATGTTTCATGTCTCTGGCATAAGACGCACTGTCACAAGCACTATGCCTTGCGCGAGCATGCCCAAAGCACTGGTATGTACAGCACTTATGCCTCTGAGCGAGGATGATGATGACGACGGACGATGAAGATAACGATGACGAGTGCATTGGTTTTACAGTTGACGGTCAGTTGGGGGCTTCACGGTGAGAGACGGAGACTCTCCCTAAAGCAAGCAAGGTATGATGAGCAGCGGACAGCAACAAGACGAAAGGAGCATACAATAATAGTTGTTCTTCAGAGTAATTAGTCCTTTCATTCAAGGAACAGGGTTGTAATCTTGTGGAAATTCTTTATTAGGGTCTTACCCCACACCTCATATTAGGATGTTGGTTATTGTATGAATAAGGTTATGCGGCTGGGAGGTTGTTATGGTTTAGGGTTGTGTTCTGGATGATTGTATTTGTCGTGGTGTGTTGCTTTGTTTTCGGGATTATTGTGTTGGTCTTTGGGAGATGCTTTGTGTTTTGCGGGTTTGAAGGGTTGACATGGTAGGCTGGTTGAGAAATGGGGTGAAACCGTAGGGGGAAGTGCAGGATGTAAGGTGTGGGGTTAGCCATTGCTCGCTCCTAAACCCCAGCCAAAACCCCAGCCAAGGCTTTGCACATTCCCCACCCTGAATTCTTTTGCAGCCAGGTCTCACGACTTCGATGTCGTCGTATTCCACACCATACAGCCAGTGCCTTGGCAGAAATCGCGCATGCTGCTTCTGCGGTTTAGGGCGACGGAAGCAGGTTGAGAGGGCAAGAGTGCGAAACGACCCTCTCTCCGTAGGTTTTTGGATCCACAGAGGGCTCGGGCCCCAAATTCTTCAATATAGGGACCTTAGTACGTAATTAGAATAGGGTTTGGGGGTATATGATACTATAATTATAACAAGGAACCCCAGAATAGTAAAGGTAATTATTAAGGCCCCGATTCCTTACAGCCGAAAAATCATCCTGGAGGTCGATCGGCTGTACAACCAACGCAATAGTTGCAGTATGGTTCGGGTCATAAACTGCAGAAGCCAGAAAAAGGAATCCTCAAGGACAGTCGTACTTAGTGATGATTTTTAACGCCCCGACAGGTATATATAGAGGGTCTTGGGGATGTGGTTGCCAGGGTGTGGGGCTTTGGGTCCAAAGCCGCACGTAGAAGCTCAGGGTACGATCAGAAACTCCCCAAAAGCACCAAATCCCAAAACCCTGCCCTACCAAATCCCCCATCGTGGTGCCCTTACATAGGACCTGTGAAGGAACCCTGAACCTCAATTTTAGGTCTGTTGCCGGGTTTAGGGTTCAGGGAATTGTTGCCTTTACATGGGTATTATATTACGGCACCTATTATTTAGGGTACCCAAAAAGGTACCATAATTTTGACAGCCACCCACATAGAAACCCTTCGAAACAAGCCCCGCCGACCGAAAAAACCGCCGAACTCTGGGTGTCCGAACGCCTCGATCACTTCAAGGCCTTTGTTCATCATTGTGGACCTGGGATTTTTGAGGTTAAGGTCTGTTTAGTTTGGTCATTGTGGACCTGAAGGGTTTTAGTGTTGAGGAGTTAGGGGACCTGACAAGGGGTAAAGACCATAGGCAAGTGTTTCTTTGTTAGTGGTCTTCCGATTTTTTGGGGTTCCGCTGAGGCGTCTTGAACCCCGATTAAACTCTACGCTTCAGGCCCTAATACCATGCCAGCTGCGCCCTCCGTTGCTCTTACACCACAACGGAAGTTCAGAGTGTGGGCCTTCAGTATTGCTAGAAATACCACATCTGGTGCCAACTCGTCAATCGAACCTCAAGGTCGTCATTCCTCAATGGATGGCGACGGCAGCAGGATTTGAGATGCGGGATGTAGACCCCGTGATTAGCTGTTGTCTAGGGTTGGGGTGCAGGGTTCTTAAAGGCTCATGGGACTTAGTAGGCAAGGTTATAAGTAGGTTATCTTTAGGATAACCCCACTTAGGGAACTTATAACCCCAATTATACTCTAAGTAGCCTAAACTACCCCTTATAGAACCCCTATATAGATCCCTTAAAGGAGCCCTTTAAACGAACCTACTTACTAAGTCCCATGATCCTCTAAGTTTAGGCGCCTTTAGCACTTGCGTGCTCGGTGAGCGTCGTGGGTGGGCTTTTAGGGCTTTTGAAAAATATTAGCAAATAAAGATCCTCTTAGGCCTAATAAGGGAAAATAGAAAGTGTCCCAAAGCCCCACCTAGTCATCGGGATGTCATCCCAACATGCTGAGGGCCCTACGAATCCACGGTGATCTTTGCCTGCAGTGGACACTCAATGACTCCAGATGAGGACCTTACCTACCACGGGATGGCTTTTAGTAAGAATTCCTACTATTTGCTTAAGAACCCCCAAAAAATAAAAAAAAATATTCCTTATGGGGGTAATATAGGGATTATTATTTTTACTTTTTGGGGGTTTCTTAAGCAAATAGTAGATTCAGACGTCCACATTAATCTCAACTCCTCGAAACCTGCATCTCTCACAAAGGCGCGAAAACATTCAGCTCTACAGCCCTAAACTCTGGAGCCCTAAATCCTCAACGCTAAACCCCAATGTTGGCCTAGGGCCTACTGTCTTTGACTCCGGCCCTTTGCCAACCAAGAACGTAATTCAACCCTGCCGGAGTTTCGGCTTTAGGTTTGAGGGTTTAGGGTTTAGGGGTTTAGGGTTTAAGGTTTAAGGCTTGTTGGGGTTTAGGAATTCGGGTTAGGGATCCGTTGGCTTGTTTCAAGTTTCAGGGCTCAGAACGTAGGGCTATGCCTTGCCCAGGGACTTTACGGTTTGGGTTGGCTGTCAGGGCCTGAGGCTTGCAAGGTTTTGCGTTTAGGACACAAAACCGTTTTGTTACGTGCAAGGCCTAAACCCTAAACCCTAAACCCTCTACCCTAAACCCTAAACTCTAAACCCTAAACCCTAAACCCTAACCCCCCCAGGACTTTCGCATGCTGCCGTGCTCAGTGCTCCAGCCGGTCCATTTCGGACGCGAACTCGGCTTAAATCCCTGCAGTTACAGGGCTTGGGGACCTCTGCAGAACCAAACCTTATCGCTTTCAATTTCAAGAACCCCAGACGGGCAGCCAGGTTTCGGGGGCAGCATGGCTTTAAAGGACAAATGTCATGTCAGTTGGCAACAGCTCACAAGGTTTAGGGCTTTAGGTTTTTAGCACTCCAGGGGCGCAGAGACTGTGTAATTTCGGGCAAAACGGTTCGGACGGGACGAAGGACAGGCAGCTACGCGACATTGGTACCTGCCTTCGCAAGCAGCGCTGACACAAGGGAGATCTGGGTCTTGAAACAGGGTTTAGGGTTTAGGCTTTACTGTAGGATTTAGGGTTCGGGATGTCACGCGCCCCAATGCCAAAAGTCGAAATCCGACTCTACGCCACCGACCTCCTTCCCCACACATCATTTCATGTAGGCCTCCTGCTGAAAATGGTAGCTTGACGCCAGGAACTCCAAGAGGAGGCAAACGAAACCAACATACTTTACAAAATCCTATCTTTCGATGCACATGAAAACCCCTGAACTTCGAAGTCTTACAACCTACAGAAAGTCAGACAGTGACAGTTGGCTAGCCCACACCCTAAACCCTAAGGGTCCAAGTACCCAAATAGTATATACTTTGGGCCCAATGTACCTATATAGGGAGTACTTTAAGGCACAAGAATTTGCTATTTGGGTACATAGACCCCACTACCCTACACCCTAAACCCCACAACCCACAAGTCCAAAGTCTTACACACAGACCAAAACCGCAGACATCCTACCCTAACTAGGTTCCGCAGTAGCCCCCTAATAATAATGAGGGCACCCTCGTTCCCGTCCAGCAGGAAAGCACATGTCCTCCGTCATAACCACAGGCTCCAGCAAGAGTGGCGTGCTGGTGCGTTTCTCGATCCCTTCCTGGCCGACAGCCGCCAAGGGCCCTGACCCATACACATTGGCCGGGAATACCCGTATGGCGTGGGAGCGAAAGGCTTTGCAGGTTCTGGCACGCTTGTGGCCAGGCTCTTCCATGGTACCGGGGCCCAGCTATGACCGACGGGCAGAATTGCCCTCAGCCACCCCTAGTTAAGAGCAATACTGGAGCCAGCGGAACAAAAAGGACATGCACCACAACTGGAGCAACTCTACCGTCGCATCCGCCTCTTTATATCGCAGCCCTAAACCCTAAACCCTAAACCCTAAACCCTAAACCCTAAACCCTAAACCTAAACCGTGCTTTAAGCCCAAACCAACAGGGCAAAAGGGTGCTACTGCAGAACCGACCCTAAACTGAACTAAGCCTGCGAGCCGAAGATAGGGGGTACCTTAGGGTTCCTTTAAAGGGTTACTATAAGGTACTATAAGGGTTCCTTTGAAGGGCTCTATAAGGGTTTTGGGTTTCCCTCGCTTTAAGCCAGAGTCATAAACCCTGAGTCAACAAGACCAAACCTTAATAGCCCCGGATCCTGAAATCCTAACCCCCAAACCGTAAATGGCATGCCCACCCTCCTGCCAAACCTCAGAAACCCCCCCGGTAGCCCGAAATCAACACTGGGGTCCCATGGTTGGCTTTCTACATTTCTTGTTGTGGGACCCTGAAAAGAGATCCAACGTTCGATGAAAGCCTTGCAAGAACTCCGTCAAACTACACAGAGCCGTTCAAAGCCATAACCAGTAACCCTATACAACCCTTGTTTGAACCCTTGAAAGACTGACGAGCTGGGCCCCCGACACCCATATCCCAGTTCGGGTGCGTCGTCGACCGCTGTCGAAGCCTTGGAGGCAGGCTGGAATTGAAAAAGCAGAAGTGGGCTTTAAGGTTTCAGGGAGTGAGGACTGTATGAAATTCAGGTGTGTGTGTGTGGAGCTAAGACTTTCAGAGTGCTTTAAAGGCGTTGGCATGCTGGTTTTGCTCTGGGACTTTAGGATTTAAGGGTTGTCGTGTATGCTGCTATAGGGCTTTAGTGGTAGCTGGCGGCACAAGGGACCATAAAGCATTGTCTCGGCAATTATTCGAGCCCCTATGCTATGTTTGATTCGGAATGAAAAGTCAGGCTTGGGCGGAAGGCGTGCGCGATGATGATGTTTGACGTTCAGGGTTGAGGGACTCAATCTGTAGAACAAGGCTTTGGAGTATAGGTTCACGTCCCAAAGAAAAAAGCAGTGCTGCAAAGCAGCGTTGCTATTTATTTGTTAGGGTAGCTCCTGGCAAGTCCGAGTCCCTTCTTGCGGATCGTCATACTAAGATACTAAGTAGCCATTCTTCACGTAAGTTCCAGGGTTTAGGGCTGTAGACTTCTTGGGCAAAGGGTATGTTTATACTGCTTAGGCTTAGGGCATCGTGGTCCAGTCTTGTCTGCACATCCCAGGACGACTCTCAAACCCCAAACCAACCCGAAACCCTAAACCCTAAACCCAAACCAACCCAAAACCCTCGACCAGAGCATGATGATGCCCCCTTCTGCACGATCAAGTGAAGTGTAGGGATCTCGGGATCCCCAGCCCTCAGGCTTAGACCTTACAGTAGAAGCCAGAAGAAAGTTGGAATATCATTATCGTAACCCCTTTAAGGTAAATTATAGGGGATCCTACCATTAATCCATATTCCAACTTTCTGGCTTTTGCCTTAAGCTCTGGCCTCCTGTAGGGTTGAGGTTCAGGGTTGAGGGTTTAGGGCTCAGGGTTTGTCTTTAGGGTTTCAGGGTTCGGGTTTAAGGGTTTAGGGTTCAGGCTTCCTTTCATTTGCAGTCTGCCGAAACCCTAAACTACTATTTGCTTAAGAACCCCCCAAAAATAAATAATATATTCCTTATGGGGGTAATATAGGGATTATTATTTTTATTTTTTGGTGTTTTTTAAGGAAAATAGTAGTAAACCTGAAGAACTGAGTGCTTTGCCCCGCCAACCTACAGCCCGCCAACACCAAACCCGACGCGGAGGCTCTGTAATATAGGGGCCTGACCAACTACTAAGGTTTGGCAAAAGCTGTACACTGTAGTTATGTTCATGAGCCAGTTATTCAAGCTTCCGAATAAAAGCACGAAAAATCCGATACAGGCGTCGGAGTGGTTGGTAACTGGAACTGACCTTCTCTTGCAGTTAATCCAACCCCAACCGAGGACACCACTAAGGTAAGGCAGCAACAACAAAGGGGAACGGAAGGGGACCGAATCCCCAAGATCTCCAAGCCCTGAACTCAAGCGAAGCTTAGCAAAGCTCCTCTTTATGCTTGAACCAAATGTAACGTCATGGCTTCTTAGCTAGACGATCAGACGAATTGCTTTACATGGAGAAACGCCATGGTTTCACAACCTTACAGCCCTGCATAAGAAGACCATACTTTACACCAAAATTCAATCTTACGGTTCTTTTTCGGGACGATATAGAGGTGATTATACCCCAAAATGGATAAAAGGTTGCCTGCTCTACTGCTAAGCCATTAACAAACCATCTAAAGCCCCTGTACTGAGCCTGCAGCCCTTATCAAAACGATGTCCAAACGGACCAAATTCTGCAAGAACATTTTTTGAATTCCCAACCCCATCCTTTAAAACCCTACAAACTCTAAAACCCTAAGCCTCTAAACTCTAAACCCTGAACCCCTAACCCCCCCGAGCCGGTCCCTCCCAAGGCCCCGGCACTTCGGGGTCTTCCTTCTTCATGTCCTCGAGGGACCTTGGGATCGGACGAGGCTTTCCTCCTGGGGTTTTGGGTGTCAGGTGTCGGGCTTTTGGGTGGTCTAGGATCTTGCAGGATTTAGGGTTTAGGAGTTTAGGGTTGAGGTTTAGGGCTTGGGTTGAGGGTATTTTCTAGGGTGGAAGGCTTAGGGCTTTGGATTTTGTAAGTATTCGGGTCAAGGGTTCATGGGTTGTTGGCTTGATTGGCTCAGGGCTGCCGTTACAGGGCGATCTGATATAGTGTTGAAGCTCTGATGAGCGTGTGCTGAACAACTCCTACTTAAAGGCTCATGGGACTTAGTAAGTAAGGTTATAAGTAGGTTATAATTAGGATAACCCCACTTAGGGGACTTACAACCCCAGTTATAACCTACTTACCAAGCCCCATGATCCTCTAAGTAGACCCTGAACCTCCAAAACCCCGAAGACCCCGCATGTCTGGAAACCCTAACCTTAATGAACCTTCAGATCCCATTCAATACTCTGGAAAGAAAAGGCTTTGCAAGCAAAAGCTATTCAAAGCACACTCTAGTCCTGCGAAAATCCCGCCCTATGAAATCCGGGCGTCCCGACATGTCTCGGAAGGTGCCTCCACTACCGGTGAGGATGATCTTCTTCACGCCTCCCTTGGGGATGCCCTGCCTAGAGGGTGTCGGAGTTAAGGTTTAGGGCTCAGGATGTGGGGTTTTGGGATTAGTTTGGGGTTTAAAGGGGTGTTGGGATTTAGGGCTTAGCGATTCGTATAAGGGGCACTTGGAACGGGTGGGTACCTGTTCCCTGATACTAGCAGAGCGTGATTTAATTCATAAAAAGAGGTAGGACCGGCGACGCCATAAGGTCCATCCAATTGCGCTGCCAAGTATTCAGGCAGCTCCACTTGGGCTTGGCGGTTTGGGGCTGAGGGTTCAGGATGCATGGGCGGGTCGGAATCGTTGATAGTGTCTGCTGTGGTTGACTATAGGCTCCACGGCTCTACATGGCTGGGTCGCCGATTTAGGTGCTGTGAATCAGTGAAGCCGACATTGCTTCCAGGAGTGTGGTAGGTGTAAGGCGGGCTGACACCATCCTCAAGCCCTAACCCTGAACCCTGAACCCTAAACCCCAAGAACATCACCAGGCTTGGAAGTGTAGCAGGCGAGGGTACATGATGGTTCCTTCATCTCACAGCTCTGAAGCAGGATTGGGCCATCTACCCTAAACCCTACACTCTAAACCCTAAACCTTCAAAGAGCCATAGTCAGTGTGCCCCAGCATCGGGAAGATGGTGCCTTTGCTCCACCAGCCCCAATGGACTTGAACAACGTAGTCATGTCACCCGATACATAGAAGCCAAAGTCAAGCATGCCTCTTGGGGCTGCAGATGAGAACTGTCTGCAATCGAACAGCCTGACATTTGAGGCGTCTGTGAGTGCTGGCAGCTTGCCGAGTGCACTGTTCAGGGTGACCAGCGAATTTGACTCCAAGATAACAGTTGGCGACGCAGTGAGACCCAGTCATGCCCAGGAAGAGGCCGCCGAAGCGTAAGTCTATCAAACTACTATAGGGGCCGTATTAACTGACTATAACTTTTTGGGGGCTCCTTCTTATAATTATGGTAGAAAGGGCCCTCCCTGAACCCCCTGATAGCCCTGATTGATGAACCTAGCGACCTGAAACCCTAAACGCGAAACACTGAACATGAGAATCCCGATGCTGACCCGTGCTACGGGTGATGATATAAATCCTGCATGACCCATAATAAGGAATATACCATAATTCCCATATATTCCTCATTCTGGGTAATGCAGGATTTATATCATCAACCGGCCCCCGTTCAGAGTTCAAGGGATAGAGTTCAGGGCGCACGATAGTATGCAGCTTTGGTCCTAAGAAACCCCAGAAACCCCGCTACTCCCTTAGCACCGTCTACAGAGCCGCGTGTTCACCGGAATCAAAAAGAAACCGCAAGCCCTCAACTCCGGCTCCTCAAACCTGCTAGGAGGGTCGGGGGACTTAGTAAGTAGGTAGTAAGTAGACTTTTAAGTACCCTAAAGGGGGCCCTAATTGGGATTATGGTACTTGTTGGTCCCTATCATAACCAGTTACTAAGTCCCCCGACCCTCCAAGTGAACTGTCTCAAAGCCTTCCAGAACCTCCACAAAATCCTTTCTAGATCGGAAAGCCAGTGGAATTTCGGGCTCCTTTTAGGGCTCCTTTCAAGGCAGCGTGATACGAGCGTCCATCGAATTTGGGAGCTCACGAACCAGTGCTTAAAGCTCAGGAATGAAGGCTCAAGAAAGAGAATTTAGGATTTAGGATTTAAAGAACCTGCACTTCTTAGGGTTTAGGATCTTAGAACACCAGTAAAAGCAAAACTGAAACCTTAAGGCCAGGGTGGGAGCAAGAAACCATTGCCTCCAAATCCCCTGCAAGATTGGACCGCAAAGCCGTACAACCTCAACCCTAAACCCCTTTATCTCTCAAACCCTACACCCTAACTCCTAAACCCTGAATGTTCCCAAACCCTAGACCATGAAGCAAAAGTTCCTCAAACCTAAGATCCCCTATGAACCCCTCATCAACCTAATAAACCACTCCGAAACCACTCTTCTGGACCCCTCTCCTATGCAACAGCCTTTGAAGCCAAAACCCTGTCACACTGAGCCCTTCACATGCATTGAAAGATGGCCGAGTGCTCAGAGTCCACTGGCCTAATTTTGCAAAGGTGTTCCATCGCTGATTAGATCTTTTTACGCGGAACTACGATTGTAAGAGTTCTTTTCCTTATTATGGGTTGGGTAATGCAGGATTTATATCATCAGCAGTACGACCTTTTCAAACCCGAACATTTCAGCCTTCAGACCCCGCCGAAGCAGAAACGCGCTTGAGAGGAACCCCTGTCACGTCCCTGTTTTAGGGTTTATAGGGCTTATAGCGTTTATACGGTTCGGGTATTTTTGGTTTAGGGCGGATTGAAGAGACCCTGCATGTCATGAAGAGTTTCCAGGAATCCACTCCGGGGGCTCTGCCCACAGCTGCCTATGGAACTGGCTAGGGCCTGGGCCTAGGCTGCCAACGTTGGCAGGAAGCCTTCAACGAGGATTGTTGGTGTTGACTTTGAGAAACGGCCACTCTGGAGCAAATACCCTCAATGAATTACTCCATTTCAAGACACCCGGTGACAGAAATCACAAAATAACATTCCTTCGATCCGCCATAGTCACGGTGACAGCGACAACGCAAGGACAGTCACAAATTTCTCGCATAAACACAGAAACACAATTGGAAAATCAGACCTAAATTCATGAGCAAGTCTGCAGTGCATATCTGAGCTTTCCGACAGCATGCTCACGCCGTACTCCTCAATCAGCGGCGCGATCACCGGCCCTCCGGCAATGATCGTCTCCTGAACTGTAAGTTTGTGAGACAACAGCTGGAGGAATTGAGGAGGGAGGAATGGGAGTAGCGCCTCCGTCATCGTATGTAGCAGTACCCAGAGACTCCAATATCCCTTTATTAAGGAATATACCTTAAATTATAGTAGGATCCTTAACCCAGACCCTCGGGAGGATCTAGAAAGTAGATCCTCTAATTTGGGGCCCTATACTACTAAGGGTACTTTATAGGAGCCCCCATGAAGGGATCTACTTTTTGGATCCTCCCGGGGGTTTGGGAATATGATCTAAGGAATATTCCCTAATTAGCAGCAGCCCCTGAACCTTGAACGCCCAACCCGGAGCCCCTAGACCCTTAACCCTCCTAAAGGGAACTCCAGAAAAGTTGGAATATGGATTAATGGTAGGATCCCATTAAGAATTTTAAAAATATTTAAATTTTTTTTTTTTAAATGGTAGGATCCCCTCTAATTTACCTTAAAGGGCGTACGATAATGATATTCCAACTTTCTGGCTTCTACTGTAGGTCCTTGTTGGCCAAGGCAATATCCTTGCCCGCTTTAATCGCCTCGATGGTGGGGATCAGCCTGGCTCGGGTTTCGGAACTTAGGATTTTGGGCTTTGGGTTTAGGGTCTAGGGCTTAGTGGTTGTGGGTTTAGGGCTTGGGGTTCAGGGTCTAGGGTTTAGGAAATAGCGTTTAGGGCTTAGGGCTTGGGGATGTTATGGTTTAGGGATATTCTGCTTAAAGCTTAGGGCTTAGCGATCAAGAAGATCCTTCATCAACGCCAGCTTCGATTCAAGTCTGTCAAGGTTCTTGCAGGACTCAGGGTTTAGGGTGTAGGGGTTTAGGGTTTAGGGCTTAGGGCTTAGGAGTTTAGGAGTTTAGGGGTTTAGGGGGGTCAGGGGTTTAGGGGTTTAGGGTTTAGGGGCACCCGTCGACCTAAACACTTCGTCATGGTTTGTTCGAGGTGCGCGGATGAAGGTGGCCGCAAGACATTCTGCAAGTTCGGTCGCCAAGGCACCCCGCACTGCAGGATGAATCAAGAAGTATACGGAAGGACCACAAGGCATACGAAACCCTAAACCCCATTCTAACCTTGATCTATAAACCCTAAACCATAGTATCCCTAAACCCTAACCTCTACCCCCGAAAAGGAAGCAAGGCCTGTGGTCTCGTTTTTTCACAGGGTTGCGCGGCCCGAGGTCCTAAACCATAAACCCTAACCTCTACTCCCAAATCCCTACCCCAGCCGTTTGGAGGGAGGTCCCGAGCCCTCTATCTTCTCGAGGTTCAAATCACGATGCGGCATATCATCGCTGGCTCGTTGAGTTCGCGGAGACCCCCACCTCCTAAACCCTGAAGATTTGGGACTCCCTGTTATGGTTTCTGTATATAAGATCTTTAGAATGTAGGTATTTTTGTGGGTTAAGATAAATCCTTTTAAACCCAAGACTGTTGGCTATTAAGCATGTCCCTCATCGAGTGTCCGTTGTAGAAGGACACGTTTCAGGCGGCTGTTGTCGGATAAACAGCTCCACAGGCAAGACTTGTCTTTGGTTTCGGAAGCGCATGGCCAACATGAAGGCTTCGCATCGTTCCGGGGTCAGGAGGCACGAAGGCATACTGTCTTGAGAACCTCAACTTACCTGCGCGCCAGCTTCCTCCATAACACCCAGCATAAGGTTCGGCAAATGCCAGGCCTCACCCTCATGATTGACCCTTCCCACAATGTTGTCTTCAACTCGGCATATGGACGTCGATGTAGGGACCACGGCTAGACGAAGAGGGATTCAAAAGACCGCACGTATAGAGACCACAATGCAGAACCGTTACAAGAATAGGGCACACCAAGGTGTGTGTCGCCAGCTGGGTGGTTGTCAAAATTATGGTCCCTTATTGGGTCCCTAATATAGTACGGCACCTTATATTTAGGGTACCCCAAAGGGACCCTAATTTTGACAACCACCCAGCTGAAGAACTCCTCTCAGCGAGCCCTAACCCCCTCAACCCCAAGGCCGAAGAGCCTTACGAGTTGTAACTATATAGGTAGTTGTCAAAATTATGGCCCCTTTTTGGGTACCCTAAATATTAGGTGCCGTATTATAATGAGGACCCAAAAAGGAACCCTAATTTTGACAACCACCCATATGGGAGTTTCCGCAAAATAGGGACACCTTATTCCGGGGTCCTTACAATAAGGATCCTACCATTTAGGGTACTATTTTAGGGTCCCGAAGGTCCTTACAATAAGGATCCTACTGTTTAGGGTACTATATTAGGGTCCCCGATGTTCGGAAATTCCCACATCTAGCCGCAGAGGTCGAGGCTCGAAGATGACTGAAGGACCCTTTTTTAATAGTTGGTTTAGAGTTTAGGGTTTAGGGTCTAGGGTTTAGGGTTTCGCTAAACTCCAACCGCTAATTCAAACTCAGACAAAAATCAGCCTAGAAACCCCGAAACCTAAACACTTGACAGTCTAGCCGCTGATCCTTGTTTTAATTCAACCCTAAACCCCTATAACTAGTTTATAAAGATTCTTGAACCATGATGACAGGCCACACATCAGTGAAGGAATACTTCATAATAAGGGCGATTGGGATTTGCCGAGAGAAACTAACTTCACGCCAAAGGTGCCCTGCACAGCCCACAATGCCGGTGACGACGGTCTTGCAGTCCTGCAGTGCCGGGGGGGTCCAGAGTTTGATGTTTCCAGTTTAGCTCAGGGCCTAAGGTTTAGATTTTGCACCCACAAACATTCCACCCTAATTCCATGAAACCAAAGAACAATAGCCCAGAAATCCGAAGAAACTCCAGACCGACCCGTTGCTGTCCGGATGTCTTGCCACCTCGATTTGCCCCTCGGCGCCGGAGAGAAGTACCTCCACTTAAAGGATCATGGAACATCATGGAACATAGTAAGTGTTGGCGATTACCTGTAACCCCTACAAGGTACAAAGAACCTTACTTGAACAAGTCTCCTGATCTTCCAAGCTTTTAGTGCTTTCGGGTTTGGGGTCTGGGGGGTAGGGCTTAGGGTTTAGGGTTTAAGGGGGTTACCTTATGAAACTTTCGGGTGCTCTGACTGATGCTCAAATCAGCACAAAGCCCTGAATTGAAATCTTGGTGTACGATGAGATACATACATGCCTACCCACCTACCTACCGACCTACCTTCCCACATGCTTGCCACATGATACATGACTGCTGACAGACAGACGGACAGAAAGGCAGGCAGGCCAGCAGTAAGTATGTATGGAAAAATAATGAACAAAACAAGAAATATGGGTGTGTGTGTGTATGTATATATATATATATATTTGTATATATGTACACACACATATGATATACATATATGTGTGTGTATATATATACATATACATATATATATATATATATGTGTGTGTGTGTGTATGTTTGTAAGCGTGCATGCATGCATGTATGTATATACTTGTATGTGTATATACTGACTGCAAGTGTGCGCACGGGGACTTGACTGTTGTTGTGCTACATGCACACCTGCCAGACCCTACAACAGCTTCACACCCTTAAACCTCACACCGCAAGACAGATGGGTAGTTCTCCAACTTCAGATTGCTTGTTGGATGCCTCAAGCAACGAGCACATCACTCTGCGAGTAAGAACCCCAAAATCGAACGTAACTTAGAGAGCCACCCCACATGCAAAGAAAAGGACTTTACCCCAACCCTGAACCCTAAACCCTGAACCCCTAAACCCTAAACCCTAAAACCCTAAAACCCTAAACCCTAAACCCTAAACCCCTAAACCCCTAAACCCTGAACCCTGAACCCTAAGCCTCAGGGCTCCTAGCCCCTCGATCGGGCGCACCGGGTCGTAGCCGTCGATGCCCAAAGCCTCAACGCCCTTCTTCAGCTCATCGAGCTTCGACCTTAGCTATAGGGCTTTAAAGGAGGTTTAGGGGGCTAGAAGGTCTAGGGTATATACGGTTTAGGGGTTTGGGGGGGTTATAGTGCTTTTTGGGTTTACAGTATATAGGATTTGGGGTTTTGGGGCTTTCTAAGGCTGAAAGGGCGTAGGGTATATAGGGTTTAGCGTTTTGGGACGGCTTATAGGGCTTATAGCGTTTACGGTATCTTGGGTTGGGGTTTTGCGGTTTTGCGTGGTCTATAAAGCTGAAACGGTGTACGTAGGGTATACAGAGTTTAGGTTTCTGGGAGTTTGTAAGGCTTATAGGGTGTAGGGCAAAAATGGCTTAGGGCTTATGGCGCATATAGGGCTTCGGGTACGTAGGGTTAAGGGTTTAGCAAAGAAGCTGCCCGAAAGGCAAAACATCATACTCTTCATGCCCCTAAGGTAAGATCGCATAGGGCCTGAACAATAAGAACCGGATTTTGTAGTATGTTCTAGTATGACTCGGCTGTATGGGAATACTCAACATTTATTCCGATTTATATAACATAGGGAGCCCAACAACAAGATCATCTTTTATCCCCAGTGCGAGCTGTCAACAGATCCGACGAAGTTTGAGGGTCTTACGTGTCTGCCTGTTGTTTCGCGTCTGTACCGGTTCCTCAGATGGCTACTACCAGAAGCGTTTTCTGCAAGCGTCGCTATAAGAGATCTAGGGCTGCCGGTTGACGGGTATAAGGCCAAACTTCCGCGCGGGTTTGTGTAGGTTGAGAATGAGGTTTAAAGCTTGGTGGCTTTGGGTGCTGCGGCCCGGACCTAGCACTTGGGCCAAACCCAAACTCTGCACCCTCAGAAACCCCAAATGAACCCAGTGATGGTTTCCGTCCATTTGGGATTCCCCAAGGCTTTCATGAATCCGCGCCTCGTCTCCCTAAGACGTTAAAGTAGCCTGTATAAGATCAATTTACGAGTTTCGGTCTGTTTCTGGGCTGGGGTTTATGGCTTTGGCTTCGGGTTTTGGGCCTGGGCTTTAGCCTTCTACAGTCTTTGTACTTATCTAGGATACCCAGTAACCTAAGAAAAAAAAGGCCTCTCTTTTTGGTATTGGGTAACTTTAAAAGGAACCTGGGACTACATAAAGGGAATAAGGGTACTACTGGGCATCCTAGTTATCTAAGTCGTACTATAGACCGAGGCGTCTGCGGCCAGTCGAAGATTTGGGCGTGAAGACCGAAGCTAAGATATCGACCGACCCACTAGGCCCAGTGTTCTCTTTTGCTGCTTCTTGTTGAATATCGCTGTTGCTTTCTGTCTCTCTCTGTCTCTCTGTTGCTCTGTCTCTCTGTCTCTCTGTTGCTTTCTGTCTCTCTGTCTCTCTGTTTGTCTGTCTCTGTCCCTCTACCCGCCTGTGATGCAAAATGTAAAATCCTTGTCGCAACTGGCTCAATTCCTAGCCCCAACCGGCGGGTTTCCAAATCCTAAGTACTCAAGCCGCGGCGCTCCGAACACTTCTTATGGGAAGCCACTTCACAGAACAGTCCCTGAGGTGGCAGCTCGTCGCACGCAATCATCTGCGGCTTGAACCTCGGAATCTAGACCTAAGAGTAACCTAGGAAAAAAAGGGTGCCCTTTTTGGTTTCAAAGGGGGTTATAAGGGAACCTAAACCCTAAAAAAGGGAATAAGGGCCTGGTCTTTGTCCTAGGAATTCTCTTGGTGACGACGAGGACTGGCAGGTTGAAGAGGGGGTTCGCTGATGACGAAGGTTTGCTGATGACGATGAATGATGGTGACGGCCATGATAAGTTATGATGAACATGATGATGATGATGATGATGATGGTGATGGTGAATGTGATGCTGATGATGATGATGACGACGATGCTGGTAATGATGAAGATGATGGCGATGGCGATGCCGATGGTGAAACTGACTTGGGTATGGTGTGGAGATAGGGGCTTGGGTGCAGTTCCCCGGATGCGTCTTGCAAAAGCACATGAAAGAGCACTGGTGGGCCCAACAACAGAAGTCCTCCAACAAACAATGCTCAACCTCAAACTACAACCAAAACCCTAAACCCCAAACAAAAATTTAAACCCTAAACCCGAAACCCCAAACCTTCAATCCTAGCTCCCAATAATCCGAACCCAGACCCTACACCTTGGTCGCCAAGACGATAAGACCAGGCTAACAGCACCAAATACACAGGCCTTTAAAATTGGAGCAGGGTTTTGGTGTATAATATGGCATGAACAAAAGCAACTAATAGTTTGAAGGGTTCGGGGAATGTTTTGGTAAAACAGTGGTAGTAATGAGGATTTTTAAGGAATGATATCGGTACTTTTTTAGGCCCCTACTGTGTTCTTCAGCGCCTGAGCCCAGACTCAATGATCAATCACAACGAAAGTAGGGCGACACCCCAAACCCTAAACTCCAAACCCTAAACCGTGACCATCAGCGCTTGCAGTGCTAGTGTCAGCACAGGTAGTAACTCTGACAATAACGATCGTCATCCTAGACGTCGACTCGTAGCCCGCTCAAGCTCTGCAAGCGCGCTGAACTCACCCTCCCACCCAAAACCCTCAACCCGGAACTCTAAACCCTAAACCCTAAAACCCGACTGACGAATGACGATGGAGGTCTCGATGGTCGGGGTCGACCGCACGGCGTGGGGCCCGGAGCGTTCAAGCCTGCTCCTCGACTTCCCAGAGACTCCAAAAAACCTTGAACTAACGAATATTCTTCAAACCAAAGCCCGTTGATTGAGGAATATTCCTTAAATCATAATTACGGAATATTCCTTAATCAAGGGGTATCGGCACAGCCGCGGGGTCATGCTTCTGCGCCATACTCCAAATCACACAACAATTGGAGCACAAATAAAGCGAATGCGAACGTCAGTGTGAAAAAAGCAGTGGTACTCGTACATGACTCGTACATCAAATATTGAGAATGAAGGGTTAAGACTTTCGGGTTTAGACAGATTCCGACCCTACGGGCCCCTAACTAACGTATCCCTAGCTTTGGACCATAAACCTGAAACCTTCATCTGTGGCCGGAGACTCTTTGATCTGCTCCAGGAGTAGCTCCACATTCTTTCCTGGAGGCTCGTCTGGGTTGTGCTTTAAACCCTTTGAAAATTATTTCTGAATAGGTTCCCTTTATAAGGAAATAAGGGAAATTAAAAATTATCCCAAAGCACAACCCAGTCGTGTGTGGGTTTGGCATCTGGGGGTTTCAAAAATAGGGGGACCCTAATATAGTACCCTCTATAATGGGATCCTTAAAAAAAAGAACCCTACAAACAAGGTACCCCCTAATTTTCGGAAACTCCCATCTAGGGTCGCTTGTCTGGTTTAGGGCATTGGGGTTTCAAATTGTTGCGGGCTGTAACGCAAGAATCATCACACTTCTACCTGGAGCCGTATGGAGACCCTGGAATCTTCTAAAGAGATGGAGGGGGGATGCAGCGCAGCCACACTCGGAGCCTTGGGCCACCGGCGGTGACATTGACGAAGCTGCTTGGTTCCCGTTCGCCTCTGACCCTGATGGCGGAAGCGCTTACCTCTGGTTAGTAAGGAATGGAAGAATGGTAGCAATAGTAGTCATAATTGTACCCCCATTCCTCCATTCCCTACTAACCAAAGGTAAATGACGGAAGCAGTGACGCTGAAGACGAAGACGGCTGGCCATCTAATTGTCGAGGCGAGCCTTCTCGGCACCTTTTCCGCCCTTCTTCTTGGGTGGCTCCGACAGCGTGCCGCACAGATGAGACTGAAAGCAAGCTGCCGTGCCAATTTAGAGGCCTAAACAAACAGACAAGGGCACTGCTGGACTTTCTACTCGAATCTTGTGTGACACAAGGTGGGGAGACTCTGAGTGGTCGACGAATCCGAGGAACTCATGGAGTCCCACGGTGCTGTAACGATAAATCTCGAAGAGAAAGCAAGCAACAAAAAGTTCTTCCCGTGCGACGGTAAGTGCCGACCTTTAATAAAGCTTGTAAACCCTAAATAACTCCAAAACCCTGAACGAAAAAAATGACCCTACACCCCGAAACCTCATACACGCAAGCTGCAAACCCTAAAACAATCATCCGCACACCCCAAACCTTCCCCCTGAACCCTACACCAACACAAACCGGAAACCCTGAAAAAGTCCTAAAGCCCCAAACCATAGATAAGACCTTATCGGACTTTTATATAGGTAGAATATTATGTGTTTTTGGTGTTTTGGGAGTTGAGTAGCCCTGAACCCTAAATCCCAAACCCAAGACCCCTAAACCCCAAACCTTAAACCCCTAAACCCCTAAACCCTAAACCCCTAAACCCCTAAACCCCTAACCCCTAAACCCCTAAGCCCCTAAGCCCAGAAACCCCAAAGGTTTCCAAATCAGCCTCAAAACCCTGAACCACCCAACAAGCTTCGGGCTTTCGCACTTCCCAAATAACCCCTAAGGGCCCTGAAACCCCAGAGGGCATCGGGTTTCGGGATTCCCAAGGAACCCCTAAAAAACCCAAAGCCCGACATCGGGTGGTTAGGTTTACTAGACCCAAGAGTAACCTAGGAATAAAAAGGGTGCCCTTTTTGGTTTAAAGGGGCTTATAAGGGAACCTGAACCCTAAAAAAGGGAATAAGGGCCTACTCTCGGTCCTAGTTTAGGATTTGCGGATAACCCCCAAAGCCCAAGAGCGCTTTAAGCTTCACAGTGGGATTCGGGAAGATCCTCCGCGCCTGCTGCCAGAGCCACTGGCTTGAACTTGCCGGGAAACTGCCGACAGATGTCCAGTGTCTGCGTCCCGATGCCTTAGGGTGTTGGGCTTAGGGTTTACAGTTTAGGGCTTAAGGGCTTTAGAGGGTTTAAGGTTCAAGGTTCTTTTTGTGGGTTAGGGCTTAAGGGGTTTAGGGTCTAGGGCTCAGGGTCTCAAAGGGCTCCAATACGTTTTATTCTGTTAGGGCTTAGGGTTTAGGGTTTAGGGTTTAGGGTTTAGTATAGGGTTTAGGGTTCAGGGTTTAGGGTTTAGGGTTTAGGGTTTAGGCTTCTATCCGGGCGTCTGTTTATGAGAGCCAGTGTCATGGTTACTCATACGCAGAAGGTGTTCAGAATGCCCACTCTTTGCCACGGCTCATGGGTGACAAAAGGGGGCCCTTCCCAAAGACGACAAAACTAAAGCCCATAACCCTAAAGCCCTAAACCCTAAACCCTAAAGCCCTAAACACTAAACCCTAAACCCCTAAACCCCTAAACCCTAAACCCCTAAACCCTAAACCCGAAAGCCTAAAATCCTGAACCCAAGAAGCTTCCAGCCACGCCTTAGAGCTACTGACGGGGAGGCCCTACAGGCCGTGAAGAGAGCATCTACGGTTGATGCTATGGGAGTTTGCGAAAACTAGGGGTACCTTATTTTGGGGTCCTTATAATCAGGATCCTACTAGTTAGGGTACTATTTTAGGGTCCCCTATTGTATAAATCCTGCATTACCCATAATAAGGAATATGTGGGGATTATGGTATGTTCCACAGTATGTGTCATGCAGGATTTATATCATCAACCGTATCTCTGGCTCCCCGGAACGAGTTGCAAACTCCACTCGGGAGTGCATGCAAGCCTGAAGACTCCCCTATATGTTAGAAGGGGCCCCCACCCTGTAACAGTGACTATAAGGATTATATTAGGGTCCTGATATATTCCTATTATACCACTATTACAGGGTGGGGGCCCCTTCTAACCTGTATGTTGCCTTAGGGCATCGACTATAGTTATAATGTAATATATCCCAAAACTGAGGCTCTGACGATTACGGCCCCGATATTCTCAAGCCTCATGCCGTGACAAGCCCAAAACCTGTCTCCAGGATTCAGCAAAGAAGGGCGGCTGGGTGAACCTTGACGCCCTACTTCTTAGCATTTAGGGCTCCAGGCTCTGAAGAACCTTTCTAAACCGCACTGGCCAGCCGAAAGCAAAAACCACAGCCCAACACATGCGGACGGTTCTTTGAATCAACCCTTCCGGGGGTCCGATAAGGGACCAAAACTACTTAAAGGCTCATGGGACTTAGTAAGTAAGGTTATAAGCAGGTTATAATTAGGATAACCCCACTTAGGGGACTTATAACCCCAGTATAACCTACTTACTAAGTCCCATGATCCTCTAAGTATACATCTGTACCACAGTGGCTTCTGCTCACATCTCGATCAGAAACTTCGAGTTTGGAAGTTTCTCTGGGGCACCGGGCTGCCTGTAGAGCCGAGGATGGATATCCTGTTCAGGGCTCTTTTCGAAAGTTAGTAGCGTAGAGTCCCTTGAAGGCTACTAGAGGGGAACTGCAGGGCCAGAGGCGTTGAGGACAGGGCTTCAAGTAAGCTTAGTTTAGGGTTTGGCTTTTTTGTCGAGAGTTTTCACAGTAAAGCAGGTGTCGTTTACAGAGGTCTTTGGAATTTAGCTAGGGTTTAGGGCTAAGAGATTCGGGTTCCCGACAAAGTTGCAGTTGGAGGAGTGGTCTGGAAGAATCCAAGGGGCTTGTGGAAGCGAGTCTGTGAAGATCTGGTAATTCTAGGCAGTTTACCCTCCAAAGGGCTCAGCCCGGGATGGTCTTCTGCTTTGGGAACGCTTCAGGTTAGCTGTTAGCTTGCTCTGAAACCTCTGCATGCAGTCCAAGAGCCCGTCTCACAAGCCGTTGGAGAAACCTCGACAACCCGGCCTAAACCCCAAACCCCAACACAATCGTTACCCCACCCCGCCAGACTGAGAAAAACAACAATAAATACAAACGAACTGATAGTAATGAAATGAAAACGAGTAAGAATGACAATGACCGTAATAGTGTTAATGCTGATTCAATGACAATGATTACGATGAGGATAATGATAACAGTTATCAGTAGTAGGAGTCGTAGTAGTAGTAGTAGTAGTAGTAGTAGTAGTAGCAGCCGCTAGCCTGCTCCTGTGACCCCCTGAGGTGGCTCTACAGCACCACTATTTTCGAGAAGCAGGCCGGCGACGATTACTACTTTAAAGGGGCAGGCGGGCGAATATTACTACTTTAGAGGAGCAGGCAGTAGTCGTAGTCCCCCTGTGGCTGGGCCGGTTAGTCAAAGCCAAGTAAATCAAGTCAAGCCAAGCCAAGCCATTTTAAAAGAGAACTCCTTTCACCATTGTGCCAGAGGAAACCCCATCTAATAGGAAACCTATCAAATAGGAAAACCCTATCTAGTGCGAAGACCCGATCAAATAGGAAAACCCAATCTAGCGGGAAGATCCCAATAGGAAAACCCTGTCTAATGGGAAACCATATCTAATAGGATAGCCCTACCCAATACGAAAACCCCATGTAACAGGACAACCCTATCTAACAGGAGAACTTTACTTACCAGGAACAAGCCCTGCAACAGAGCAGTGTCCACAAGCGCAGGGAAAGATGTTCTGAAACGGCTGTAGCACTGTAGCATGCGACAAGACAGGTCACAGGAGCAGGGCGCCTGGTAGTAAAAGTAGTAGTAGTAGTAGTAGTAGTAGTAGTAGTAGTAGTAGTAGTAGTAGTAGTAGTAGTAGTAGTAGTAGTCGTAGTAGCAGAAGTAGTAGTAGTAGTAGCAGTAGTAGTAGTAGCAGCAGCAGTCGTAGTCGTAGTCATAGTCATAGTCGTAGTAGTTTAGTAGTCGTTGTAGTAGTAGCAGTAGTAGTAGTAGTAGTAGTAGTAGTAGTAGCAGCGGCCTTAGTCGTAGTCGTAGTCGTAGTAGTTTAGTCGCAGTAGTAGTAGTAGTAGTAGTAGTAGTAGTAGTAGTAGTAGTAGTAGTAGTAGTAGTAGTAGTAGTAGTAGTTTAGTAATAGTTTAGTAGTAGTTTAGCAGAAGCAGTAGTAGTAGTAATAAAGAAAACAATAATAAAACGAGGAGCCTCTTGTCTTCCGGCGACTCGTTGGACGTCTCCTCGAGGACCCGATTTAGGGCCCCAGTTCAAGTTTAGGAAGCTAGGGTTTTAGAGTTCTAGGAACGGGGTGCTTTTTTCTTGAGGGATCTTACTAATTTGTGGGCCATATTGGAGTGCCAGCAACAATAAGGAAAGAAGCCTCTTTAGTCCTAAGTGAAGCCTAAGCCCTAAAGTAAAAGCCAGAAAGTTGGAATATTATTATCCTCAACCCTTTATGGTAAATTATAAGGTATCCTACCCTGAAACCATATTCCAACTTTCTGGAGTTCCCTTTAAACCCGTTTGCTGTCTGCCCCTCAGAGCCTGAAAGTTCGAATCGAGCACACGCGAGAGCTGAAAAACCTAATGCAGCGGCCCTAGTAGCTGGAACCCAGAGACTCCAATATCCCTTAAAAAAGGAATATACCTTAAATCATATAAGGGATCCTACCATAATTTAGGGAATTTTCCTAAATTAGCGGACATTGGAGTCTCTGGGAATAGGGCTTCGGGAGATACAGATTCAGATATAGGGACTGTAAGGAGGCACTGCTGGGGTTAATTTGGGCCTCCATCTTAAGTCTCTGGAATCCTTCGTCCTAGACGCATAGAGACCTGAATCGTTCTCTACTACTCCCTAAACCCTAAACCCTAAACGGTGAGACCAGACTCTCTGGGTCCTTGGTGTTGGTGCCCACAAGGTTGCGACCCTTGGCCCAACTCCTCCTTCATCGGCTGCTGCCAGATGGCTACAAGGGTTCTGTAAGGGTTCGTGCAACGGTTCTATCGTTACCACAAAGGTTACGATGGAGATTTTCTAATTACTGTATTGGGGTTACGAAAATAGTTTTTGCGTTACAGGCTCGATCCGTGTTGCTATAAAATGCATTTCCCAGGGCTTGGGGCCTGGGCTTCAAGGTATAGGCGTGTCATAGAGCTAGCTTGGTCGGATAAGGTTGAGAGTTTAGGGGTTTAGGTTTTTTTTTGAACGCCTTTTTCCTCCTAGCAGTTAAGGTCGGCGGAATCCGCATTGCGGGTTTAGGGTTTAGGGTTCAGGGTTCAGGGTTTGGGGTCTAGGGTTTTTAGGGTTCCGGGCAGATAAATGAATGGCTTGTTTCGGATCCTTAAGGTTAGGTCTACAGGAGGCCATGCTAGGCACTCCCTAAGCCGATTGCATGAGCACAGTCCAAGACGGTACAGCAATGAAGGCTGCTGTAAGCAATACAGGTCAATTACTACAAGGGCTAGGATAACCACGGCGAAAAGGCATCGACGGACATGAGCGAATTGCTGGCACCGAGATGCTGTCAACAAATGAGGTCCAAGCCCAACATGCCAAAACTCCAAAACCCTGGACCCTGAACCCTCGAAACACGAAGTCTCCAAAAACCCTGAACTCCGAAATCCTAAACTAACAGAGTTCCAACACCCTCATGACGTTCAAGCATTAATTGCATCATAAATCGCCATATATAAAGACTATCTATACTTATCCTCCTAGTCGCACCTACATGTATGCAGAAACAGAACAAGGGGCAGACCTGGCGGCGCGCGAGGATCGCGCACGGCCGGCGCCCACGGCCACGGCGCCGAGCGCGACGGAGGAGGCGGCAAAAACGGTGGAGGAGGAGGCGGCAGTGGCGTCCCTGACCTGGGTTCAGGGTTTAAAACTCATGGGTTAAGGTTAATTTCATCTGGATAATTATGGGTTTGTAATTAGAAATTATAAAGCCGGCTGTTTGGGGTTTGGGGCTGTTGGGGTTTATGGTTTCGCGGCTTAGGGTATTGAACTTAGGAATGTTAAATAGGAGCCTCTACGATTGAAACAGGGTTTTTAAGGCAGAGCGTAGTGATTATTACTGTATCTATATGAAGAGCTACAAAGGTTTACGATTACTAGCTAATCTAGTTATACCGACCTCTGTACTTGTCATAGCAGCATAGCAAGACTGAAAGCACAGAAACTCAACCGATACACATATCTTCAACGAGTAAAAATATTGAAACTGAACTTTCAACCCTGAAACCCTAAAACCCCCAAAACCGTGAAACCCTAAAATGCTAAAGACCAAAAAGCACTAAAATCCGTCGGCCCTTTAATCCAAGCTCCCATCAAGGCATGTTAGGGGCCAGATGATTGAAGGAAGATTCCACGGGGTAGTTATATGCAGGAATTGACACACGCATACGCAGCTGTGCGGCCAGTATGTAAATACATACAGCATATATACATGTGTATGAGTATGTGTGTGTATATATATATATATGTAGATATGGCACTCATAGTGCATATATGCATTTTTTCAACTCTCTGTGTGCGTATGCGCTTCGGCATCCACTGAGGCTCCTTTTCGGAACCTACCTAGACCTACTAAACGCTACTTTTTGTAGGCTCTTATTATAAACCCTAATATAGGATTTATAGGGACCCTACAAAAAAGTGGGTTCTGGTAGGTTCAGGTAGGCAGAAGACATCCACAAGCTGAGACTCAGAAACCTGGCTCCGCGTAGTCTTTGCATTGGATTTTGGGTTGAAGCTTCTTGAGTTCTAGTGTTGCGCTTAAGTATGGGTTTAGCTTAGGGTCTGCGATCATGTACTTCTGACCCTAGCCCAAAGTCTTCACTGTAAGGCCTGCAAACTCGGATCACGCGACTCTAAACTTGATCTACTGCACCTAGGGATCAGGGTTACGGGTTTGGGGTCCCGGTGTAGGGCTTAGAAAAGTCTCGAAACTTTGAGGCCAAGACTATCTGGTGTCTGGGTGTGCTCCACCAAGCCGGACGTCGCCAAAACAAAAAGACCCTATAAACCCTGTACTGAATCCCAGCAAGGCCCCAGTCTAACTGTGACGATGGAGGAACCGCTCTCAAAACGACGGGGCCGCCGTACGATAGAATACCACAAGCGATGACCGTAGGGGCAGGGCAGGGCTACCCTATAGTGGGCTATATAATGGGTATATAATAGCTATATTAAGGGTATACACCAAACACAGGGTCCTTCTTAAGGGTCCCTCCTTTTACCCTTGGATCATACCTAGACCCCCAGCAAAGCAGGCCCCCTAAAGCCCGGTTTAAAGCCCAAAGCGCCTCGGTGACTGTGCGCTGGTGCCCCTGAGACTGCGAGCAGGGTGAAGCAACTAAGGGTTCAGGGTTCAGGGCTTAGGGTTCAGGGTTTATGGTTTTTGTTTAAGGGTTTAGGGTTTAGGGTTCAGGGTTTAGGGTTGTCTTTAAGGGTTTAGGGTTTAGGGTTCAGGGTTTAGGGTTGTCTTTAAGGGTTTAGGGTTTAGGGTTCAGGGTTTAGTTTCGTTTTTTTAAGGGTTTAGGGTTTAGGGTTCAAGGCTTAGGGTTTAGGATTCAGGGCTTAGGGTTTAGGGTCAATTGGCTCAAGAAGAGTAGCGCGTGGGGTGTTAGGGAACGGGTTTGAGGTGCGATTGTCTTATAGTATATGAGTCGTTGTCCAAATTATGGTGCCTTTTTGAACTTTTTGGGTCCCTCATATAGAACGGAACCCATTACTTAGGATACCCGAAAAACGGCCCCTATTTTGACAACTACCCATATGTAGAAAGAAACGATACCTCAGGATCCCTGGTCTTCGTGCTCCCCGTTTAGGGTTTAGGGTAACACTAAACCCTAAACCCTAAACCGCGTGTTCCGGCCTGAATACCTTGGAACCAGAGCCCAAACCACGACCTCTATAATCGTTAACCCTGAACCCATGAACCCAAAACCCCAAGCCCTAAACCCTATACCCTGAACCCCTAAACCCTAAACAAAACCTACACTCCAGAAACAAACCCTATACCCTAAACCCCTGAACCTTAACTAGGATGCCCAGTAACCTAGGAATAGAAAGGGCTCCCTTTCTGGTATTGGGTCCCTTAATAAGGAACCCAGGACTACACAAAAGGGAGTAAGGGCGCTACGGTTCATGATATAAATCCTGCATTACCTTAAGGACCCTAAACTATGGGCATTATGGTATATTCCTCATTATGGGTCATGCAGGATTTATATCATCAATGACCCCTAAACCCTAAACCCTAAACCCTAAACCCTAAACCGCATCCTAGTCAAAGGAAACCTCAACCCATGAGCTGACCGGGATGTCTGCCTGATGGAACTTGGAGGGTCGGGGGACTTAGTAACCATAAAGGGGCTCCTTTAAAGGGGTCCTTTAAAGGGATCTATAGGGATTCTATAAGGGTTTAGGGTTTAGGGTTTAGGGGGACTTAGTAATTAACTGGTTATTTTAGGGACTTATAAGTAGCATAACCCCAATTAGGGTCCCCTTTAGGGTACTTATAAGTCTACTTACTACCTACTTACTAAGTCCCCCGACCCTCCTAGAATCATTTTACCTTTGGCTAGTAGGGAGTGGAAGGGCCTTCTAAGGGATCTATAAGGGTACTATAATATAGGGGCCTTAATAATCCTATAACTTACCTTTGGTTAGTAGGGAATGGAAGAAAGGTAGTAATAGTAGTTATAGTTATACCCCATTCCTACATTCCCTACTAGGGTAGTTGTCAAACTGGGTCCTTATTATCATGCGGCACCTAATCATTAGGGTACCCAAAAAGGTACCACAACTTTGACAACTACCCACTAACCAAAGGTAAGTCATGCCCATGAGCTTCGACCCTACCCTTGCGCCTCGACCCTACGACGGACGAGCGCCTTCATCAGGGTTTAGGGGTTGGGGACCCAGAAACTCCAAAAGCCCTTTGACTAAGGAATATTCCTTACATCATGACAGGAATTAAGGAACATGTCGTACTGAAGGGGTTTTGGAGTCTCTGGGCTGTGTTTTCCAAGCGGGAGGCGGAAGCTGGAGCGATTGTCTTTGAAAAAGGGGCACTCAGTGCCTGCCCGTGCGAGGCATGAGAGCGACATGCTCCTATGCCCAGAAAGCGGGTGCTTTTGCGCCAAGCGGGCTTAGTGCCAGGAGCTTGCAAAGCGGCGACGTTAACGCTCCCGACAGAAGTGGGATTGATGCCATGCGCTGCTCCTGTCACTAAAAGTGGCTTGGCAGTGCCCCTGCTGGCACTGCTGGCATTGCCGTCGGCAAGCCCAGAGCTGCACCAACTGCAAAGCAGGGTTGCCTGGCTGCCCAGAGACTCCCATACCCCTTAATTTAGGAATATTCCTTAAATTATAGTAAGGATCCCTAATATGATTTAAGCAATATTCCTTAATTAAGGGGTATTGGAGTCTCTAGGCCTGACTGGTCGTGCAGGGTAGAGCCGACAAAATCCGCGAAGCGGGCTGTTGCGTGCCGCCTCCTGAATTCAACAATGGACCTTTACAGGCTGCTATGGGTTTCTATAATGATAGCGTCCCCTTGAATCGGTACTATGGGATTCTATAAGAGTGTCGCCTTTAAGGTGGAGGGGCCGTTCTTTATGGTTTGTATAGTCCCTCAGTATGGAGTTTGCTGATTTCCGTTTTCATCCCTGCAAATCCTAGCCTCAATCCTATCTCCGAAACCCTAAGCCCAAAACCTCCAACCTCAGAACCCATGACGGAAGTCCCCGGACGGCATCGCCTGTGTGTGCGCTCTACCCTGAAGCACCGGCGCCGCCACCGGCGCTGGGGAAACAGAACCTGGCGGAAGACGCAGGCACGCTGACTGAGATGCTTACTTGTGAATATCATGGTCCCTTTGAGTAACCCCATATAGTACTACTCTTTTTTGGAACCCCATATAGTACTACTCTGAATACGGTACCCTGTAGTATTGGAAACCCAAAAGGGGCCCTGGTGGTGACAACCACCCATTATGATTAGGCACGCGGGATTCGGAACCTGGGAGTAGGTTTGGAAGAACAAGATGCCCAAACCATGATCCGTACTTGTAGCTTACCTTTTAGGGTTCCTTATTTTGCTTTCTAGATAAAAACTCCTGAAAAAGCTCCTTGGGCCACAGGTATGTTGAGAATTTGGAGTTGCTGTTGCCTTGTCTTTCGGGACTGTGGTTTAAAGATTCAGGAGGCAGGGATTTTAGAGATTTAGGGTTGAACTTCTTTAAGGCCGGATCCTAGACACTGTTTCTTGGCATATTCTGTTTCTACATATCCGAATCCCGGAGGCTCCAATGCTACCCACAAGTCCCAAACCTTGAACCCAGCCACGCTAAAAAAAGTCAGCCTGCGAAGTTGCCAGAACGAGGGGTCAAAGAGTTCTGCAGCTTTGGACAAACGAGCTTCGTAGCACAGGGCTGGCACTCCTGCAACCTAATCCTGGGGCGCCAGCAAGAGATACCAGATCCTCGTCACGACGTTTAGGATGCAATTTTGATTTAGGGCTTAATGTTCACTCTGCCTGTACAGCACAGGGTGTGCGGTCAAACCCGTGTTCTCGCTGGGCCAATTGCGGAGGCCCTGTAACGAAACGTCAACATTCTGCCTCCACACCCGCAGCCCGACTACTATTTGCTTAAGAACCCCCAAAGAAAAAAATATATTCCTTATGGGGGTAATATAGGGATGATTGTTTTTACTTTTTGTGGGGGTTTCCTTAGGCAAGTAGTAGCGAGAACCCTCGATCTCCAAACTCCACATCTCCACAGGGACACCTACGACAAAGGCCGCCATAGCCCTGGATGCAGCAGCTACGCTGAGCCAGTGCGACGGGCAGGCGAGCATC